ATGTGGGATGCAAAATGTATTTAAAATAAAACACCTGCTCCAAAGCTGTGGCTGGAATGAACTTGAAGCAGATGCTCAGAGCACTGCTGATTCCATCTAGGGTATGATCTGGTGCCCCCCAAAAGACTCCTTTTGACTTCAGTAGCTGAAGACCTTTTATCAGGATATCTTCCATGGGAAATACGATTAACAGAGCTTTAGAGGGTGATATATCACTTTCTACACAAAGACCCTTCCTTTTCCACCCACATCTTGACGATCTCAGCTGACATACACACACTCGTGTAAAAGCAGGATGAAATAAAAGCTGTAGGCAGCGTGCAGCAAGTGTCCCTGTGGCACAGGGTCCAACTCACTGGCAGCAGTGACACCAGTGTAATTATACACACTCCAGTCCAATCTCCCAGTAATTATTCTGGAATAAAAGCCTGCCTATTTCTGTGAGACCTTATGTCACTTGGAAAGCTGTTATAAATTTAGCTGGAAAAAGGGACCCTTATTCTGGGGTAAGCGTGGTTAGTGGTTAACTGGGAGCGGGGCTATTCCTGGCGCTGCCATTGACCTTCCTGGTGATGCCGGGTAAGTCACCTCACCTCAGCATGTGTCACCTTCTCCTGCTGCAAACTGGGAATTACAAACAAGGGCTTTTGCACGCAGCATTTTAGGAAACTCCATGACACTGGAAAAAAGGTGTCACAGGGTGCCAGGCACTCATTTAGTGTTACTTGGTGCTTTTCTACCCACTTTGGAGGCATCTTGATCAAACCATAGGGGAAATGAGGGACGTAGCGTTGGGGACTGGCTGAGTCTCACGAGCCTGGGCTGTTGGTATGTTACTGGGAATATTGTGTTTTCCTCTCTGTTTTTAAAAATAGTCCATTTTGTTCCAAGTTGTGGGCCACAGCCCTCACTGGGCCATTGAAATGTCTGGGCTGCTGTTTCTTGGAACCAGCACCTTCCAGCGTGCAGGGTGGGACACAGTGCAGCATCCAACCCCCTCAACTGCCGGGTGCAGCAAAGAGAGGGGGTCCTGCCCCGGATGGGCAGTGTTGTCCCTCTAGTCCTCGTGGACTAGAAAGGCACGTCTCCTGGTTTCCTCTTCTGCTTGTAATATCCCTGCCTGATTCAGTCACTGCTTCTGCAGGTCCTAAGGGCCTCGGGGAGTTTTACTTCTCATCATATTCTTCTGCAGCCTCAGAAACACCTTTTGGCTCAGCATCACGCAAGCACGCGCAGTCCGAGCTGGACACGCAGCTCATTCCTGGCACATGGCATTGAGTTCATGCTAGAGATAGGGAGATTTGTTTTGGAGGGTTTTTTAATTTGCACATACAGTGCAGGCTGGCTCACAGCCAGAATTTGTCCGTTTGGCAAAGCGGATGCTGCCCACAGAGCAGCTGGACCAATGTGCTGATGCCAAGAGGTGAAGGCAGAGCCTGCCTGGCACGTTCCCACAACCTCTGTCCCTGCACAAGCGCTGGAGTGGGGCTCAGTGCTGCTCAGAATTGGGCTCAAGCCAAAGAGGCAGAGGGGGAAAAGCCTTTTACAGTCCATTAGTGCTCCCCAGAGCCATTCAGCCCTTCTTGTCATTAAAGTGGTGGAAGCCACAGAAACATTGTGGCTGGTCTGCAGAAGATGCTGGTCTGCAGAAGATGCCAGGCCACCTCCTGGCTCCATGTCCCTTCCCAGGAGCTTTTTGTCAGAGCCACTGGCTCTCCCATCAGCTCTGGCTGCTGGAATTCCCTCTGGGAACAAGCTGATGAGGGCAGGTCCCCTGTCCATCCCAAGGTCCCCCAGCAAAATTTACAAGGGAGGGTTCCAAGTGCAAATGTGTGTGTGCTAATGGGAACTGAATTGCCTCTTGCCCTGAAGCCTTGCAGCTTGAGGAAAACAAGACAGGGGCTAGGAATGACCTCATATCGCCTCCCAGGGAATGTTATGCCAGATGAAGGGGGGAGAGGCAGCATCAAGAGAGCACAATGTATGTATCTCTCTCCCTGTGTAAACATCTCTGTAGCTGCAGAAACCTCTTAAAACCCTAAATGAGAGGAGAACAGCTGCTTTGATCTGTGGATGTGGTTGTTGTTTTCTGAGTGCAGATCCGTTCTTTTTTTAATTTTGCTTCAAATTAAAAAAATGCCTGTTGTGATCTTTTGCTTTTATTTCTTGGCGAGGGACCGGAGCGTGGTGCAGTAAATTTTCATGACTCCCCATGTAACCGTTTCAGCATGGCTGACAGTTCCTTGCTGGCTCTTCAGCGCCGCAGCACAATGGGCCGAATCTTCTGGCCCTACATGAAGCCAAAGCAAATGGATTTTGCCCAGAAGTGCACAACGGGGAGTGGAGGCAGCGGGGAGGAGAGTCCTGCCACCTCCTTCTCTGCCACACATGCACACACACACACACAAGGCTCAGGCTGGCAGGGTTGTCCCAGTGCCTGTGAAGGCCTTCAGAGAGGGCTCCCTGGAACAGATCCATGCCAGCTCCACATGGCAGCAGCGGGAGCTGGTGAGGAGCCATCAGGGCCAGAGTGCTGGGCTGTCCTGCAGGTGATTCAAGTGTGATTCGTGGCCTTCAGTTCAGACTCCCTGTGTGATCTCAGGAGTCTCCATCTGCCTGACTTTCCCCATCTATGCGTGGGGCCGGGGGACAGCCCTGTACTTGGAGGGGCACCGCAGTGTGCACAGCCCTGACATCTCCGTCAGCCCTTCGGCCGCTTGACCAGGCAGCATGCTTTGGGAGAAAAGCAAGATTATATAATTTTTTAGTGAGTTCCTGGTCATCAGCAGCTCACCCCAACCCTGCTGCTTTGCTGTGGTGCTTTGCAAGCCCGTTGGAGGAGCGAGATGTGGGTCTCAGCCCCTTGGCTCACATGGCATGAGCGAGGCTTCTGCTGGCCAAGGATCTGCCTTCAAGGGCAAGACCCAGTTACCCCAGTGCAAGGCACTGGTTTAACTGGGAGCACTTGGCTGGAGACTGGTCTCCACTGAGGTGGCCTGGGCACAAGTGAGGAGGCTCAGTCATCCCCCCGTGCTGTCACGTGGCTGCCTGGTGTTTTGGTGTTTTAATTACGCACGGTCCTGTGTATTTAAGGCTGGTTTATGGGTGTTTATACTAATGCGTAAACCTGCAATTTAGAAGCTCAATTATAAATCAACATTGCTGAAGGTCTTGTTCCTCTTGCCGAGAGATTGGTCTCCAGATTTAGAGGATAGGTTAGAGAGAAAAAAAGGAGGACTGTTTAGTTTTCCTCTGGTTATGATGATAAAGATCACAGGATGGGGTGCGAGGTGCAGTGGCAGGCACAGGGATCTGCTGGTGTCACCCAGCACAGAGTTTCCATTTTGACTCTGCTCTTACAACAGCCATAAGAGACTCGTGTTTATGCAGCAAATCCCAGCCGGGAAAGAAAAGCGGAGTGATGCTCATGGAAGGGTGGTGGCACCCCACTGACGATGGTCTCAGCTCGTGCCAGGATGTGGGATGCAAGGGCCAGGGCTCCTTCCTACTCGGCACAGTACGAGAGTAGCCTTCATCCCCAGGAGCTCCTGGCACAGACTGGAACTGGCTTCCTCCGGTGGCAGTGCCAAGCGGGATAGCACATTCCCACTGGTCATATCTTTAGGTGTTACTAGGACAAAAGGGGGTACGGGAGGGTTCAGGGGCAGCATGGTGGGCTGGGAGAAGCCCATGTGCAGGATAACTCTGTGGGCATGGTGGCCTCTGTGGCTGCAAGACCCTGTATCCCTGGACAGGTGGGATCACTGCACACCTTCCTCCTGGTCCCGCTCCTGGCTCCCAGCCTTATCTCCTGCTGCAATTTCATGGCTGTTGATGCCTTTCCTGGCTTGGAAAGCAGGAACACCCTGGAAGAGAGATAGTGCCAGCAGCTCCCAGCATAGGGATGGTCATGGAGCAGGGCAGGGGTCCCCCTGCCTGCCTGGGGTGCCCCCAGCTGCAGGAGGCCAGGCTGTGAGAAGCTCCCACAAGCAAACAAAACCCTCTGAATATTTCAGAATGGTCTTTTTCTTCTCCCTCTGCCCTTGTTTGCAGTCCCTTCTCCCACCTTTCCCTGCAACCAGCAGAGCTGCTCTCTGGCCCTGCGTTCCCCTTGCCCACAACTCTGAGATGCTCCCGGAGCTGCCAAGCCCAGCCGGGTTGTGCCATCTGCAAACTCTTGGGTTTTTTTCTTATGTATATTTTTTTCTTTCCCCTTTTCCACCCCTTGCCTTTTCTCATTCCATAAGCCTCCCCCAGCCCCCCTCCCCTTGCCACCATCTCGAGCCCTCGGCTGGCCAAGGGGCTGCGAGGTGCCGGGTGGGTCTGGGGGTTGCAGGGGGCTTTGCATTGATGCATTGATCGCCCGTGGTCTCTGCCTGACCTCCCTGCTCCCAGGGAAGCAGTCTCCATGGCTACTGGCCCTTCTCCTTCAGCGCAGACTGTAAATTCCTGCAGGCAAAGCCCAGCCTTGGGGGTGTGAGGGGGGGAGCCGGGAAGGAGTAACCAAAGCCAAATAGAAAGAAAGAAAGAAAAGCTGGGAGAGAGAAAAAGGGCGTTGCTTGGATGGGGCTCTCCTTTCCACTCCCCTTTCCCAGGTCCCCAGCACCAGGGCAAGGCGCCTGCTTCCCCCCTTCAGCGCTGCTGCTGCTGTTGCTGCTGCTCTTGCAAAACTGGAATTGGCTGGGATTATTTAAGGGAAAAAAAAAGGAGAAGGGATCAGAGCAGCCGCCAGAGAGAGGGCGATAGAGTCCACTTTCCTCCAACTGCCCTGGGTCTCCCTCCCTCGCTCTCTTCTCTTCAGCAACACCAAGAGCCCCAAACTGAACCCAAAGCAGCTTTTTCCATCAGTTCAGTTCCCTTCCCTTCCTCTGTCTCACACACGGCAAGGAGAGAGCCCCTTCCTCCCTTGATTTTCCTTCGCATGCTCAGCCCCTTGTTTCCTTTAAAGCACTAGAAATCCCCCTTCTTGCCCCTGCTCCTCCCTGCAGACTGGGATTGCAATGGGAGCTTTGCAGATTGCTGGATTTTCCATCCTTTTCTTTCTCCTCCACTCTGGAAACACTCTGGCAAATAAAGCCAGTCAAGGTAAGAGAAAATCTTCCCTGCTCGAAGGTTTTGCTATTTGATGTGTGGATTGGGCAGCCGGATCTCCTCCTTAGAGCTGGGGTTTAAGTGCAGGCTGGAGAAGGCAGCAGCAGTAACAACAAACAGTGGAGGGGATTTTAAATGTCGCTTGCAGATATTCTCTCCTACTGCCTTGGACTGGGGTTGGGTTTGTAAACTCTTTAATGAGTTGCATTTCTTAGACTTTAGTTTTTTCTATTTGGACTCTTTATCTCAAGGCAGGGAGTGCAGAGGCAGAAAATTAGAGTGGGCAAACAAGTCTGGACCCATCACAGGGAAAATATGGCTGTTTGGAGGGGCTTAGGGGGGCTCTGCTGGTTTCGGTGTCTGTGAGATGGGGCTGATGCAGCGGCGGTGCGTGCGAGGAGGCTGCTCCGGGCTGGGTTGGAGGGCAGGGATGGCGGAGCGGGCGTCGATAACGCTGGGAGGCTGCATCTGTGCTCGGGGGCTTTACGTCGGCACGGGGGAGTCTCAGATGTTGGCTCCAGGGGTGTGGGGAGCAGAAAACTTCGGGTAGCTGAGCATAGCAAAGCCTGAAAAATAAGGGAGCTCTTTCCCTATCTCTTGGAAAGAGAGGTGCATCCCATCCTTATCAACTTCTGGCTTTTCTGTTTCACCACTCCCGTACTGAACTAGAGCCTCTCCTTCACAGATGCACACACAGAGCCTTATGTATGGTCTATCTATACCTTCGCTTTTCTATAGCACCTCTATATTTAGCCCAGATTTTTTTCTATACACACGCACGGGAGTGCGTGCGCACACACGAGCACACACAGCCCTATACATGATCCTGTTGGCTGTCTCAAAGGGGGTTTTCTCCTTAATTCACCACTATCTGTACCATCTGTTGGGTTTTCTCTTTTCTTTCCATAGCACTTACAGTATGTAAGATTTCTCCAACCCAGCTTTGGCTGTGCTGTTGTGGCAGCTGCGTGTTTGTGCGTACGGCAAGATTAAATAGTATGTGAATGAAATCTCAGAGCGCAGAATATAATGAAAGATCTCTTATAGGCAGATTCCAGCCATGCGCGTGGTCACCCGAGCCCTGTCACTGACAAAGTTAGAAGGAATTTCAAGGCTATTGTCTTATCTGGCTCAAAGTGTTTCTAAAACAATAGGCGACTTTTCAGGAGGGCAGCCTGGGCAAGCAGGAGAGATTTTCCAGGGCAAAGGTTTGGTAAGAAGGCATCCAGCTTCACGTAAAGCTTTATGATTTAGGCACAGAAAGGAATGCTTATGTTTTTATCCCCCCTCAAATTATCTTGAGTGTATGCATTGCTTTCATTTCTTATCATAATATTTATTTATTAAGGCCTTTTGGTTTCCAGTTCCATTTAAGCCTGAGCCAGAATTGCATTAAAATAGCAAAGTGAAATTCCATCGTGCAGAGACTTGACAGATCCCTTCAGGGAAGGAGATGGGTGGAGTGGGGGTGGAGAGAGGTGAGCTCAATCCTGCGCCGGGGTACATCGCTCGCATATGCCTGGGACAGTGCCGTCTCCTCCCAGTCCTGCACAGGCACTGAGCAGCCCCCAGGTGTCCAGCCACTTGGCAGCCAGGGGGTTTGTGGTGGGGAATTAATCCCCAAGGCTGCTGATGGGGGATTCTGGGGGCTGGGGAGGGGGAAGCAGCTGCAGAGGGGCAAAGGTTGGTGCCTGCAGGCATGCAAGGACTCTGGGCAGGGGTGGACCCGGTCCTGATTCTTTTTGCATGAGACTGAACTCATGGGCATCATGAGGGCATAACCAATGACAGGTACAACCTGTGCCTTTCCTCGGAACCCGCCGTTGCCTGGTTTCCTGCCAGTGTCACTGAGCTCCTCAGAGCTGCCCTGTGCGTCTGGGACATGTCTCAGCAGGATATTTCTGAAAAGCATCAGCAACCCCCATATGTGCTGGGCGATGCCCCAAGGATGGGGCACGCATTGTCCTGAAGCCTTTGCCTTCTGGGGACAGCCACTCTCACCAGGTGACCGTCACAGGCTGAGAAGGGCTCCTCTCCCGTCAGATCGACTTTTCTTCCTGAGATAAGGTTGTGCCGTGGGTTGGCCTTGCTGGCTCATTTCTTGCACTGAATTACCCCAGAAAGTTTAGTCTGCAGGGAAGGAAGGATTTAGAGAACCGGCTGCCGGGCCTGGACGGTGTCTGCCAGCAGACCTGTCTGGCTGCAGGGTCAGCTTAGGGCTAGGAAAGCTTTCAAGAGGAGTACTGGCAATATAAATCTAAATAACCACAGGGAGGCTCCTGAGATGCATTCACAGCTGGGATGGACTCTCTCTTGGTCCCCCAGTCCAAGCTGCCCAATCACTGCTGTGCCCACTGCTCCCCTGGGTTTTGGACAGATACTGTTACCCCCAGTGTCTCAATCCCTTGTCCGTCAGCCTGCCAGGCAGAGGAGCTTGTCCTGAGCCCCTGCTCTCAGCAGAGCAGTGTGCTTGCCCAGTCCCTCCAGCATCCTTCCCTCCCTGTGCCCCGGGACAACCGAGCCCAGGGACTTGCAGCTCTGCAGCCTCCTCTTGTGCCAGGCAGCACTGGCCCCTCTGGCAGCATCCCCATCCCTGGGGACATGTACCAGGATTTGCCACTTTTCCCTGCAACTAATTGCACATGTCCTCAGATGATGTCAGGGCATGGGGCTGGAAGGGAGATGCAGCATTTCCCTGGGGGACCTCAGCACTCCAGCTTGCAGCCCCTGACACGCGCACAGATCCAGTGCAGGGTTCTGTGTGGGACTGGGGCCCCAACCCAGCCTGCTGGTCACTCAGTGGTCACCCGTAGGTAACACCAGCCCTTTAAGTGCTGGTGGATGGAGCCACCATCCCATGTGAGGGGTCAGTGTCAATGGGATGCACCTGCAGAGCCTACACCACCAGGGATTATTTTTTAAATATTTTTTTAAGGAATCTAAAATTTTCCAATTGCAGTGTTGAGATGGTGTTTGATTCTCCTCCCATTGCCGCCAAACCTCCTCCCCCTTGGCCTCTGCCTTCCTCCCTCTCCGGCATTCACAGTGTGCGACTGTTGTGCCTGTCCCCTCCACCCCACTGAAATATGAAATGTAAAACTGTAAACATTTCACATACACAGTTCAAAGGAGATCTTTGACTGAGGGCGTCTAACGTGCCTGTACTGAGATTAAAAAGGGGAGGGGGTGGGTAGGAAGGAGGGAAGAAGAGTTTTTTTTATAACTGCCAACTGGAGTATAAATATTCAGACACCTTGAGTCTTCCAGTGTCGATGTATTGCTGTCTCCTAACTGTTAGGGTCTTTTTTTCTTTTATTTTTATAGAGATTTTTCCTTTGCAGACAGTCACACCAGAGTAATCTATTTAGGAAAAAGTATGCATGAATGACCTTAACCTTCACTTCCAAAATTATAAGTCCCCCGAGAAGCTTTAGGAGAAGCCTGGGATGGCAAATAAGGTTTGCTCTGTCTGGCAGTTCTGGAGGATGTCCGGCCACATTTCGGGGAGGCCATCTCCCTGCTGGACATCTTGCAATTGCTACTCCCAGAGCAAAAACCAAACAAACACATTTTTTAAGGCAAGGCTTGATCAGTCTGATAAGCCAAAGAAACAACAACGGCAATGACAATTCCCCAGGGAGATGAACACGCTGCTGGTGGGGAGCATCGAACCCTTCATGGGGAAATGGTGACAGCACTGGGCTGAAGTGACCAGGGTTAGCACAAGAAGGTGGGATGGAGATGTAGGGAGCATTTCCAACCCAGGGGATGGTGATAAAGCTGCAGTCCATCAGGATGACCTAAACTAGGGCAGGGGATGGGGATCTCAACCTGGCTCTGCCCTCATGGGAGTGGGAAGCATCAATGAGAGGGGAAAAAAGCCCCTTTTGGGGCACTGCCAGCTTTAGGGAAGCAAAACCTGTTGCAAGGGGTATAGAGCAGGGTTCGGGCATGGCGCAGTGGGGTGATCAGGCTGGGAATCCCCCCCGTCCTTGTTGTGACTTGTGGTTCCTTGTCCTTATCCTGGAAGTGCATCTCCTGTGTCTCACATGCTTTCAGGACAGCTGGGTGGGTACCTGGGGCACTGGGGTGGTGCAGGGGTCTCTGCCACATGGCGAGATGCAGATCCCCTCTGATGTGACCTGAGCACAGGTACCTGCCCAGAGACTGCTGGCACAGCAAGACATCACACAGCACCTGAGTCAGTATCTGAGTTCAGATAACGCATCTTTGGCCAATTTACAAAAAGCTGCCCCACACGGCATCCTCCCATTCCCTCCCAGGGGGCTGCAGCTGCCTGTGGCTGTGCCCTGCACCCGTCCTGCTGTGGCACGGCACGAGCCGCCCTCACGAGCTCCCCGGATGAACAAATGATTAATAAACTGCACCACAGTGTCTGAGGTGGTTATTAATACCCTGGTAAAAAGAGCTACTGAAGTTATAAAGCTTTAATTTGGCATTAAGGCCGAGTGGAAACTCTGCATGTCTGCCAACAGCTACACACACATCCCCATACAGACAGGCTGTTAATATATATGCCTATATAAAAACAAAGAATAAAATTAATTTGAAGAAAAAGCTGAAGCACTTGCAGAAGAGGGAAAAAGGACAGTGGGTTTGTTTGTTCAGTGGTTTTCAGGTTTTGCTGCCCCATTTTGCCCCCCTCCTCAAATTTATTGGGACTTTCAGCTTATAGATAAAACCATCTTTTATTAGTTTTTTTAAAACAAAATAAGGAACCGAGGAAAGAGACTCAATGCAGTCTCTAAAAATATATGAGCTGTTTCTTTATCCCCCTACTTGCTGTATCAGGGTATCGTTGGCAGTGTGATGCCATAGGGTGCAGACATGGGACCCGTGTGCCCGTGGGCTCTGCCAGTGTCTCCCTCGCTGGCCTCAGCCAGAGCCCTCTGGGTGCCTGGTGGGTGCGCGCCGGTCCCAGGGACGTGGCGGTCCCCCTGCTTTTGGCACACTCGAAATGGCAGTGGCATTGAAACCGTCTGCCTCCGCTGCCTTTGAAATGGAGAATAAAGCTGCAGCTGGAGCGGAACGGGGCCCAACAGCCAGGGCTGGAAAATCCCACCCACAATGGAATAAAAAACATGGCCCAAGGCGCAGGGCGAGCACCACAACCTCCTACCCTTCACTGCAGCCCCTGGCGATGGCCGTGCCAGGGATGCTCTTGTCCTCTGAGGAGCCCTAATTACCCCAGCACAGTGGGACGGGGAGGTGGTGCCAGCGCAGGTGAGACCTGCAGTCCCTAGAAAGACTCAGCATCTTCACCTAAACCAAATTCCCTGCCAGGTGCAAAATTCCCCGGTGCTGGGAATTTAAGGCACGATGCATCCGTCTGTGCTGCCCAGTTTGGGCTCATTTCAGGCAGCTCATTTCAAGCAGCTTGGGGTGAAAAACAGAGGTTTTAATTATTTGTGCAGAGGAGGAATAGAGGGGCTGTAGGGATGCAGGTCTGCTGGGGGCCTGGCAAACCCTCAAAAAATCCTACCTGGATTTGGGACCTGGACTGAAGCAGGCACCCTGGCGTAGGGGGACAAGCAGGGCATGCCCCAAGTGAGGACTCTGTGGAAGCAAATAGGGACAGGAACATCAAGAAGGATTTTTTGTTAAAAAGAAAATCTTCACTTGGTTTGAATATGAAACCCTTCATATAGCAGCAGCAGCTCAGAGCACCTGCAATGAGGCCATGGGCAGCTTTTGGGATGCAGACAATTCTCCTGCAGGAAAAACAGGCTGTCCTGACAGCAAACCTTCCCTTTCATGGGAAAATGTTGCTTGCATTGACAAAAATGCTAAAAAATTAGTTTTTCAGAGGGTTTTATTTTAATTCACTTCATCGTTTCTGAAGGATACTTAGGAGCCAGAACTTCAGCATTCTAAAATTGGGATCTTTGCCAATCACAGGATGGCTCCTGGGGTGCCGAGGAGGGTATTTATTCACTCTTCCCACACACACACTTTTTTTTCCCTTTTTTTAATATAATCCTGTAACCTTTCAGAATGTCTCCAACTTTGGAAAAATGACAGAGTGGAAAATTGATAATGTTTTCTTTTGTACTTTTGCTGCTGTGTAATCTTTCCAAAATTAGAGAAGTTTTGAAGTTACAGAATGGGGGGGAAAAGATAGAAAAAAAAGATACTATACATGTGCAAGTGGGAAAGGCCCAGCAGTGTGTTCATGGTCTTGAGTTTGGGGGTGCAGGAGGAAAAAGAAAAAGGAAATAAAACCCCCAGAAAAGTGAGATTCCTGGCAAGAGGCTGGGAAAGTTTTAAATGATGTGATGTCTGCTGGATACTTCATGTTTTGGGTGTTTCTAGGAGAAGGAGATGGGATTGATGGTTGGTCTGCACTCTTTGGGTGTTGGTTCCCACCCGTATGCCAGGGTGGGTGCCGGGGGTGCTGGATCCAGCAACTCTCCCCTTGGGATCATGGCTGGTAACATCAAATGTGATTTATAACTTTGGGGGAGGACCTGAAGGGAGGTTCCTAACCATGCGGGACCAGGATCGGCAGGTTCAGTAGATCTCTGGGTCAGCATTGGCTTTGTTGCTGTTGAGTCCCTGCACACATCATGGCCAGCACTTGATGTCCCCTCACGTCTCCCTGCTCCAGCACCACAACCTTCCACCATCCTCCCAGGCTCCTATCACTGGGCTCCAGTGAGGATGTGTGAGCTGGAGGTGAAGTCACTGCCAGTGCTGGACAGCCACGCTCAACTCCCCGCAGGGACAAGAGCCCAGGGCAGCCCTGGCGCAGGGAGGGCTGCGAGCAGCTCCCCGGGAATGCTGTGGGGTGCTGGGGTGGCCACAGCACGGTGGCACCGTGGCCAGTGCCATGGCTGACAGAAGGGATGGTGCCAGCCAGGATTCTGGTGCCGGTCCCCGCGCGATCCCTCCGTCATCCCCACCGTGGTGGGTCAGCCTCCAGCCGGTGATTAATGGCCCAAGGGAGGCTGTGGTGGCCGCGGGCCATGGCTAATGTCAAATAACAAATATGAATGCGGGCTGTAAATATTTATACAATGCGCAGGCACGTGCTGCCTCCCTGGTGCAGAGACAAAGCTCTCCTACTCCCGGTCGGGTGACTCACGTCTCCCGGCAAAGAACCGCCGGGGTGGCCGGGAGAGGGCTCTGGCCGGCGTTCCCGTGGCCGTGGCCCCTGTCCTGCGGGGCTGTGAGCCTGCCCGCCGCTTGCAGGGATATTCTGTGATTTTGGGGAGCTCCTGGAGCTCCTCTTGGGGCTGTTGAAAAGCAGGTTTTTAAAGCAACTGAGATCTTTGCAGCCTCACACTCCTCCTGATGGGGTACTCTCAGGTCCCCCTTCCCTGATGAGATACTCCCCATCCCTGTGAGAGGAGCTGGAGGCAAACCCCCAGCAGCAGCACTAGTGCTCGCCGTATGCCAGTGCAGTTGGAGCAGGGAGCCTGGGCTGCTCTGGGAGCTCTGCCCATACCTGATGGGCTGAGGGTGATGCTTAGTCCCCTCTTGCCCCCCAGCAGCCTGACCCCCTCCAGGCACTGGCAGTGAGGGCACCATGTCTCCCTTGCTGCCTCATCTGAGCAGCTTCTTTCTCATAAACCTCCACCCCATGCACTTGAGGCTTTTCCATTTCCCGAAACCTCCCCTCCTGCGGCCTCCTGCCAGAGAAAACCCTTGGACATCGCTGCTTGAGGCCACTGCCAGCATGTGGAGCTCTGGCTGTGGTGTCTCGGGTACCACGGCGCTGCATCCCAGAGAAGGGGGTTGAGGGGCAAAGGGGGATGGAGGAGATGCAGATTTTGTCTGTGTCCCCAAGGAAGCTTTGATGTTTTCCCCAGTTCTCCCTCCTCTTTTTGCTCCTGGCTCCCAGGGGGTAGAGGTCCCTGGCGGTCCCTGGCTCTCCCCTGGCGCTCCTCCCGCCTGTCCTCTTGCAGATGTCGATGAGTGCGTGGAGGGCACCGACAACTGCCACATTGATGCCATCTGCCAGAACACTCCCAAGTCCTACAAATGCATCTGCAAGTCCGGCTACACCGGCGACGGGAAGCACTGCAAAGGTAGGGACATGCCATTGCTGCCGCAGTGAGAGCCAGAGCTCTGCTGAGTAGTGACAGCCCTGGCAGGTCGGAAGCACCGACTGTCCTTGCTGATGGTGGTGACAGCCATTGTGTTTGCATGTCTGGGGCTTCCCAGTCCCAGGAGGGTCACCTGGGGCTCATTTTAAGCAAAACTAGGCTTCTTTTCTGGCAGGACTTTGAAGCTGCAGAACTGTGATAGCAGTTAAAACATGACAAACTTCAAAATAAGATATAGAAATACAGATATAGATGGTAGATATAGATACAGGTGTAGATGTAGATATATATATAAATGTAGATATTGGTATAGATATAGGTATAGATCTATATTAAATGCAGTTCAGTGGCAAATGGAAAGAATATGGGCTCCTTGGAGGAACAGCAGCAGCAAAGCAGGAATGGCGCAGGGGGAAAAACTCCCAGCTTTGCTAGAAGCAGGTCCAGGGTCAGGATGGGCCAAGTACAAATAGCAGAGGGATTAAAGCACTCCAGGAACTGCTGAGCTTCACCATGGAGGTGGGCTGTGCTGCCTCCACCTTGGGAAATCCCACGGGGTTCCCAGTGCGCTGCACTGCGCCAAGGCTATAAAGACAGTGTGTTAGCTGGGGGCCCAGGGTTTAGACTGGGGAGAAGAGGATGTTTTTGCATGGTCTGGAGGGGTTCTTGCAAGTGATAACGGAGCTGGGGACCTGCTGGAATAGGCAGAGAGAGCAGAAGACTCCAGGGCACAATATCAGCTGGGTTGCAAAGACATTGGAGGTGGGGAGCAGTACCCATGCATCGGATTAGCCACCAGCCCCTGGCGTGGCCCTGCATCTCTCCTGCCCTCCTTCTCCACAGATGTCGATGAATGCGAGCGGGAAGACAACGCGGGCTGCGTCCATGAGTGCGTGAACATCCCCGGCAACTACCGCTGCACCTGCTACGACGGCTTCCGCCTGGCGCACGATGGCCACAACTGCTTAGGTGAAGGGTGTCAGCTTGTCCCAGCCCCTCAGCAGCTTTGGCACCTTGGGACCAGCCTGCTGGCTTTCTCTACCAGGCACCTCCCGAGCCCTGACACCCCTAGGGCTGTTGCAGAGCTGGGGAACCGTGGTGGCACTCCCAGGGCAGTGAGCTAGCTGCAGATGTGTCCTGTACTGCAATGGCTCGCTGGGGACAGGATTGCTCCCCATTACACAGGGATGATGCCAAGGGAGGATGCTCCATGCTTGGAGAAAAGCTTGCTCCATGGGTCTATCCATAGACTGGGAGGGTTGGGTTTAGGGATACTGGGTGTGAGCCACAGCCTCATCCTGCTGTGGTGAGAGGCCGGGCTGGCAGTTCTACTCCGCTGCTGAAGGCAGGACCAGCCAGCAGGGCTCACCCAGGCCCTGCCACTCGCTCTGCTCTTGCTTGAGGTCAGGCCTGCACCTGCCAAAACAGATGAGTTAATAGCAAATATGGTGGAGATGGGAACCAGCAAAGGGACTGGGTAAATAATACCCGGGCCAAGACAAACCCAGCATCTGCCTACGGAGCGGCTGTGCATCCTCCCTGCCACTTCCCACCATCCCAAACTCCATCCGGCCGTGGCAAAGCCAAAGCTCCTGTCAGAGCCCTGAGGTCCCTTGGGCTGCCCGCGCCCATCACCCGCTTCCTCCCGCAGCATCCACGGCGGGATCGCTGGGGCACGGGACCGCCCACCTTCCCTCCGCCTGGAGCTCTTACTATTTTCTAATTAGTGTCTGCACAGGGGTCATTAATGAGCTCATCACTTGGAAGAGAAGGGGGGGGAAGGGATTATGGACACATACTTTTTGCATTAACCACCATCACCGGGATCTTTGCAGCCTCCTCAGGGAGGAGGGAGATTTACACAGCTGGGAGGAGGCGCGGGTGGGCGGCCTTGCCTTCCTCTCCCGGGGGAGGATGAGCCCGAGGAGAAGAAAGGAAAGCCGGACTCGACGAGCCACAGACGTCATGTGTTTACAGAGTTGGGTGGGAGGGGATGGAGATGGCTGGGGAGCAGCCGGGGAAGCAGGGATTGGGGGTGGGGGCAGCCTGGCTCCCACCTTGAGCCTTTACTCAGCTCATCCTAGCATCTCATTCCTGATCCTGATGTGCTTTGCCCAACCTGCCTGCATCCTCTCTTAGCCAAAAGAAAGAGAAGCAGAGCAAAGCACAGCATCATGTCCAGGCTTTGCTGGTGCCATGGGCAGGGGCTGAGCTGTAGAGGGGTCAGGGTGCATGCCCACAGGATCCCACCAGCCCCTCCATTTCCCACCCTGGGCGACCTTTTGAACCAGCCCAGGAATTCGAGCTGCTGTCCTGACATGGGCCCTGCTGGCTTCTGCCCATCTCCATTGCATTTAATAAAACAGGTATTAGAGCAGTGGAGTCTCATTTCAGCCATTGGGTTTGAACGGCTGCCTCCTCATTTTTGAGCGTAGCTAGAAGGAGAAGTTGTGAGACGTTAAGCCCTTGTTCTAAGCGGGGGGATTTGAGGAGAGTTATTGGCATCTGCAGGACATAGTTTGGCTGGGACAAGCCTGGAGGAAGCTGCGAGCCTCCTGCCATTGCAGAGGATGTCCCTTTGTGCCTGGCTGCAACACCTCCTTTCCAAGGCAGTGGTTTTGTGGGGTGCTCCTGGGTTCTGCTCCCTGGAAGTTCCAGCCGTAGCTGCAGCTCTGCTTCTATTTCTGAGCATTCCCCCAGGGCTTGCCTGAGGCTGGGGCACAGTGTAAGGCACCCATACCCCTCAGGCATCCGTCTGTCCATCCATCTCTTTACCCAAGAGCAAGAGGTTTTGGTGCACGCTGTGCTACCTGGGGAGGGGGCCGGGGCTGGGGCTGGAAGCCCCCCGATGTGTGTCGTCACTGAGCCGCTATTCCGGCGTTTCCGGTGGGCTCAGCTTTCCCCTCAGCCACGGCTCTGCAATGCTCGAGTTCACAGGAGGTTTTCTTTGGCACGGGGCCCCTCGCAGAGGGGGCAAGGGGTGGCCACGGCAGAGGTTTGTCTCTGCCTGAGCCCGGCATCTGGTTGCTCTGGCACCTCAGGGCACTGGTGAGTTCAGCTCAGACCACTGTCCCCAAAAACCCTCTGGGGAGAGCAACAGGCTGTTGCTCTTCATTAAATGTGGGATTTGCAAGGCTGGAGCAGGAGTAGCCCAGGCTGAGGGCATTGCTGCTGCCACGGGGCCACATCTCCAGCCCCTTGCAGCCTTGGTTTTTTAAACCAAAACAGGTGTTAGGGCAGCCAAGCAGCTGGGGATGCGAGTCTCCTTACAAGTAATTATCCCTGCTCTGGGCTAAGGTTTCCCAGCTCTCCCTAATGAAGTGCAGGCATCCCCAGCTGGCGACAGGCTCTGAGGGGCTGGGAGTGGGGGCAGCCAGCATCCCAGATAAACATCCATGGTTATCTGGGATGTCCCATCCATGGTTATCTGGGGGTCCTGGGACAAGGAAAAAACCTTTCTCTGTATTCCCTTCTGTAAAACAAGGCCGGATCCTTCATGCCCATCAGTCAGGGAAACTGCTTCCTGCACCCACTCCTTGCTGTGCTTTGCCTTTGTCCCCTACAGCCCTCAAGCATCCCCCTTTCTTCTAGCTGGATGATCACAGAGGTGAACCAAAAGTAGTTTACTACCCAGCAGATCTGTCCCACCTTGTCCCCATTGCCTCGGTGTGCCACGGAGCTTTGCTCACCCCCTGCCACCCTCCCTCTGCAGACCTGGACGAGTGCTCGGAGGGCAATGGCGGGTGCCAGCAGACCTGTGTCAACATGATGGGCAGCTACGAGTGCTTCTGCCGGGAGGGCTTCTTCCTCAGTGACAACCAGCACACCTGCATCCAGCGCCCTGAAGGTCAGTGCACAGCGACTCTGTGCCCCAGGGCACGCTCCATCCCTGCATTTATGGAGGACATTAATCCTGTGCCCAGAGCAGTTTATTAATAAGTGGAACCCGGAGGTCCTCATACCACCCTGCAAGACTCATCTTCTCCTGCCAGGTCTTGTACAGCACCAAGCCCTTTGTCTTGGTATCAGCTCTAAATTGCTTAGCCAAAATAGAAGGAAATGAGAGATTTTTGCATCTCTGCTGATTTTTATCTCCACTGCTTGGCAAAACAAGCTGAAGGTTTTTGCTTTCCTCCTTCCCCCTTCCCCCCTTCCCAGCTGTGTTGGTCAGTGGCTCCCTGGGAATCATGCCCAGCCCCAGATGGCTCAGCAGCTGCAGCGGCATTTCCCGTGTCCCCATCCCTCTGTGTCTGAGAGGGATAACCTGGCTTCTTCTTCCTCCTGGTGCTGCAGTAGGTGACCCCACTGGAAAAGGGATGCAGGTGCTGTGTTTTGAGTCAATGGGATTTAAAGCCACCTTGAGGTGTGGGAGCAAGGTCTCACCCAAGGTGAGAGGAAATCAAAAGTTGAAGGTTCCTAGGTGGTTTTGTCTACCTTCTCGAGCAGCTCTGTGTCTGGAGGAGCTGCCCGTTGAGGCTGCCCAGGGTTAAATTGTTCCCCCAAGGTCCTCCCTGACAAGGTTTTCCCCTCATGGCTCCCATCGTCCTGTCCCATCCAAACCCACCTCAGACATGCTTCTGTCACTGCTGACCAGTGCCAGCAGCTTTTGGAGCATTTCTTTGCTCCCTTTTCTCTTTTAGAAGGAATGAACTGCATGAACAAGAACCACGGCTGCGCCCACATCTGCCGGGAGACCCCCAAAGGGGGCATCGCCTGTGAGTGCCGCCCTGGCTTTGAGCTCACCAAGAACCAGCGTGACTGCAAATGTAAGGAGCACTCCGGGGCTGCAGATACAGCCTCCTGGGGACCACTAACCCTGTCCTCATAATACAAACACCTCCTGTCCCTGCAGCAAAGCCCTGACTCCCTGGTAGCAATTGATTCATCAAACCTGAAGCCCAGCATGCCCAACTCTGCCTCTGTCCCCTTACGGATGGTACTCCTGGCACTCCTCTCTGCCATGAGATGTTCTGTCCTTACATGACCAGGCTGAAACAGCAGTTAAAGGGGTCCCAGAGGCACAGCATTCCCTGTCCCAGTGTTTCACTTTCTGAAGGGGAGGTGAACAGGGAGAATGCAATTGGCACGTGAGGAGTGCAGGAATCCTCTTCCTGGGGGTCATGGTGCTCCAGGCTCGTCTGATCTCCTGCCAGCATTCCGCTGGCACTGCCAGGATTATTAAATAGGTATATGTGTGTTTATGCAATTATTTTTATTTTGTTTCTCATTTGCTGTCTGCAGCGAACATGTAAAATCGCTGATGAAATGGAGTTTTAATCCTAGGAGCTTATTTTCTCTCTAATCTAAATGAACAGCACACCTTGCCCCCTGGGGAGGGCTGGAAGGGATTCCCAGAAGATCCTGAGTCATTCCAGAGATCAGGAAAGTCTCACCCTTGCACTGTAAGACCAGATTCAGGGTCAGGGGCAACCAGCCCACCGGTCCCCTTTTGCACAGTCTCCACTGAGTGGCATTTAGCAGATATGCAAAAGGAAGACATGAGAAACCACACAACAGTTTGCATCTGCCAAGATCCCACAGGGAAAGTGAAAGGCTTTAGGAATTATTTGGGAGGGAGAGAAATCTCCAAAGGTATGGATGAGGTGTTTCCAAGGCCACTTTATGCACTGCATGGGGATGCCAGGCAGGGAAGTAGGAGCTGGGGTCGTGCTGATGGCCGGTGCTTTGCTTCCACAGTGACCTGTAACTATGGGAACGGGGGTTGCCAACACACCTGCGACGACACGGACCAGGGACCCAAGTGTGGCTGCCACGTCAAGTTCCTGCTCCACTCCGACGGGGTGACGTGCATAGGTAGGTCAGAGCACTGGCCACGTGGGGCAGGGTGCAGGATGGCTCGTCCTCCTCCCTGGATGGTTTGTCCTTGGCCTGGTGAAGGGTTTATCCCAAGCTTTGGGAATGCGATGTTTCTTTTTGCTGAGACTGGGGAAGCTCGGGGTGTGTATGAGGGGTGCTGTGGCACCTGCAGGTGCAGGGATATGTTGCTGCTCAACCATAGGAGCAGAAGTGACCACAGGGATGCTTGAAGGGACATCTGGGGACAGGTCGCTGTGCTGGGGTGTAGGCAGAGGTCTCCCTCCTGCATCCATGCTGCTGGAGGGAGAGCAGTGAGGATATTCCCATGCCAGAAATTATTAACTGTTGCTGTCACCAGCAGCTTTGGAGGAGAGACATTGAAGGGACAGGTTTGGCCACAGCAATCTGTTCCAACTTGGCACCGTGTGACCTTGGCCCAGGAACAATTGTCTTGCAAAAAAAACCCAAAAAAAACCAACCAAACCCCCAACAACCTGACAACTCAACCACCCCAGAATTGTCCTTTTCCTGTGTGTGTTTTCAAATTGTAGAACATCAAACAGAGATAGAAGTTTTACTGGTTTCATATGCTTGTGCTGTTGAACAGCTGCTTTGATTTAAATAATGTTATATTTGGGGAGTGATTAAGTCCACAAATTGCTTGAGACATTTGAGTTCTTATTGCAAAATGAAAAAGAAAGCAAGAGAGGTTTTGGCTCCCCGTGTCCCTTCTGTGCCTGAACAGAAAACCCTCTGCCCTTTCCACTGATGACTCCATCCTCAGGCAAATGGCAGTGGAGCCCCTGAACCCTGGCTGCTCCTTTCCAGCTTGGGGGGTGTTTGGGGCTGAGCCCCCTGCAAAGCCCTCCTTCCCATCAGCTCACTGCTGCCTTAATGTCACCGCTGTCCCCCAGCCCAGTCCCAGGATGGATCCCAGTCCTTCCTGGCTGCTGGCAGGGGCTCTCAGCCCCTGGTCCCCACCATCCTCGTGTTTGCGTCCTGTCCCCAGGAGGTTGTTGCTGTGCCCAGACGGGCAGAGCTCCTCCAACAGGGACTTTGGGACCCCAGGGTGCATCGGCTGGTGTGTCCCTCCTGGATGGAGGGCCCTGTGCGTGGTGTCTGTGTTGGTGCAAGGACTTGGGCAGGTTTGGGACCAAGGATGCTCCTGACCTGCTGGGCATGGCTGAGGGCAGCAGCTCTCCAAAGCATCCTTTAATTTGGGGGATGCTTGAGAACCTATTTACTGGGGGGGTCTCTGCACTCATGTCCTGGGTAGAATAGGTGTGAGGGTGGGATTTGGGATTTTTCCAAAATCACTCATCCTCATGGCCTTGGTCAGAATCTCCCTCTTTGTCTCCACACCTGCACCGTATCTGCTGGGGAGACATCTCCCACCAGAGGCAGCACATCCCTGTGAACTCTCCCCTTGCCCACCTTCCCAGGGCAAATCAAATACTGCACAGGAGGATTTTAGGAGCAGCATCAGCCCAAAGCCCACCACCATGCCTGTCTCATCCCTTTGGGGTCTGCAGTCCCCTCTTACAGGAAGGGACCTGCCCAGTTCCCACATTCCCTGGGGGATTCCTGGCCCCCATCCCCACTGTGGGAACACTGCGGGATTGTGCCTTGGCTGCTGGGAGCCAGCAGCAGCCCCACAGGGATGCCCAGGCAGGGGATTTCCAGCCAAGGTACCTGTTTGGATATTTATAACCACCTTTTCTTGTTTTATGGCTGGGGCTCAGCAAACAGCCCTCCCCCATTCACAGTGCCCCCATCACCACCCCTTCCCCATTTCCTCAAAAATATTTCATCATTTCAAGGGGAATAAATTTTCCAGTGAGGGGAAGCGCAAAGTCGTTCCCCAGGCCATGGGCTTTGAAATTGTACTCGGTGCGTTTGATGGGCTGCCGGGACAGGCCCCTGGTCCAGGTTCCCTTCAGATCACACCACGCGGCAGGAAGCACGATCAGCCCCTCTGAGTGACAGTTTCATTAGACCACGGCCGGTGTTTTTCATTTTTCCGCTTTTTATTGCTGCTTTTAAAAATGCAGATAATGAATAACATGCCTCTGAGCAAAGGGGCCAGAGCTAATGGCTCCCAACATGTCTGCAGGCACAAGGGGGAGGGGGAGGTGGGAGGGGAGGCAAATGGCCTTATATATTTATATTTATGCTCCAAAAGCAGTCTTTAAAAAAAAAAAAAAAGTGTATGCTGAGGGTGCAGTGCCCATGGGGAGATGCAAACAGCTGTCATAGCTGATGCACACTTTGGCTTTGCTGGAAGATTTACCAGCCAGGGCATCATTGCAGCTCCCCCCTGCTGATATCTGGGGTGCAGCAGGGCCATTGCTGGACCTCTACTCGTGGCGAGCACTGGTGGAGTGGGAAGAAAATATTATTAGATGGAGAGGGAAACTAAACCCAAGTCAAGTTTTATGGCTGATTTCCTGACCCACACCCAGGCGGTTTGCGGTGGTACGGCTGATGTGCCCCAGCTTTGTGGATCCGGCAGTGTCGGGAGCAGTGCTGGGAGCAGAGTCTGTGCCAGTCCCACTGCCAGGTCACTGCTGGGTGCACCCACACACGAGTGAGGCTGAGCAGCCCAGAGTTTGGGCTCACTGCTGGCTTGGTTGCTAAATCCAAGGGGTGCAAGTGCCTCTGGTAGGACACAGTTCCCCTCCCGAGGCCTATGGCTGCACAGTGTCCACACAGCTTCTCTTGGGAATTGTCACCTGCCCTGGCACGTGCTGGATTTGCTCCAACAAGGGCGAGGACCCGGTTCCCCAGACTAACAGGCTGCACTAACGCTCCTCATAATACGCTTCTCCCTCTTGCATGGGGCTCCAGCCAGTCCAACACAGTGTGTGAAACTGGAGCAGGTTTGGAGAGGCTGAGGGGCATGGGATGCTTGGGACAGGGTGATAGAGGAGTCAATAACACTGGACCCAAACCTCAGGGTTTGGCTCTTTTGGGAGGTGCGGGAGAAAAAGCCTAAAAGGACAGTTTCCACCAGGCTGGGAAGGCAGCAGAATCAAACCCATTGACATGTGACACCAAGCGAGTTCCTTGCTGGACACTGTTTCTAAATCACTTTTTTATAATGTTAAACAGGGGAGAGACACTTCCAGCAACACGTTATCCTTGAGACGTTTTCTAATGGTAAATATTTTTGTTCTCTCTATCTCTACAAAGGGGTCTAACTGTAGATGGTCTCTCTTCTTGAGATCATAACAGGGCTCGGGGGGCTGAGCTGCCATGCTAACTGCATGTCTCACTAACCATGCCCCGCTGCTGCTTCCAAACCCTGCAGGGCCAGCCTGGCCCAGGCTGCCAGCGGGCTGGGCTGGGGGACAGAGCAGAAAACCCTCCCCTGGCTGTGCTTGCATGAGATGGGGGCTCTTGCACTGCTTTGGTCAATCCAGCCTGGCCCAGGGGGTGACAATCCACTTTGCAGTGGCTGTGATGGTTACCCCCCACCAACCAGGAGGAGCTCACAGTGGGCTGCCAGCAGACATGCAGTGGGGTGGGGGGTGCTCGTGCCCGTCTCTATGCTGTGCACACCCAAAATTACCCCTTCCCAGAGCCCATCCACTCGCAGATAGTCCCCTCTGGGACATTCTGGGCATCCCAGGGCTAGGTCTCACAAGGCTGCTCTCCATGCCCAGAGGCTCCCAGCCTGGAGCTGCAGCAGTGGCAGAGCTGCAATGGCCCTTTACATGGCTGGGCACCTCTCCAGGGGTTTCTTTGCATCCCTGTGGGGTCTCCAAGTCCTTCAAAAAGGTAAGGTGACGTCTCTGCTCTGCAACCAAGAAAACTGAGGCAGAAGGTGCAGCGACTTGTCTGTGGTGGATAATCTTGTTCCTGGACGTGCTGGGCACAAGCAAACTCCTGGCACATCCAGAATGAGCTGTAGGAGTGCATCTCACCAGCGCAGGGAGCACTGACTCCAGCTTTCGGGGTCTCTGAAGAGCCTTTCCCGCAGGGACGGGAGAAGGAAGGGACTCCAGATCCACTCAGTCACTGCACTTCAGCCAGCCCATCTGTAATCCCTCCAATTACCATGGAATTATCCCCTCAGGCTCCTGGGATCACATCCCAGAAGGTGGAGGTGAGGCTGTACTGTGTGCAGTCAGGGCTCTGCAGTGACGGGCAGCAGAGGGAGGGTGCTGAGCAGGGCAAGGAGCACCATGGCACAGCAGCTGGGAAGTGAGACCACAGATGAGATGGAGTGTGAAGCTGCTTTGTTCTCTCCTTGCCCATGCAGTGGAGGCCTCGCTGAAGCCCTGTGTGGCTGGTGAGTTGCTGGCTCACGCCAGGCTGGGAGCAGCCCCCGGGCTGCCAGCTCTGCCGAACAATTGCCACTCCCCAGGGCCCACTCCAGCATCTGGCCCCACACTGCCAACCTCTGCTGCCTCACAGGTACCCCAGCAACCCCTTCCAAGCTTTCTGCAAGCCCAGATAAGATCCCCCTTCCTCAGAGGGATTTGCAGTGGTGCTCCAGCCATGCTGGCTCAGCTCCCACACAGTGCCCACCCCAGGCAGCGGCCCTGGGATGGTGGGCAAGACTGGCTTTATATCTGGGCCAAAAAGTCCAAAGGTGCAAAGGGGCCACGAGGGCACATGGGTGCCACAGTGCTGGAGGAGGCTGTGAGCACCATGAAGTATGCCCAGGGCACTGCACCCTCTGGAGAGCCCCGTCCTCCCTGGTGCAGCTGCTTCCCCAGTGCTGCTGAAAGCAGCGCCTGAACAGAGCCCATCGTCTCATCTCGGCAGTGACCCTGTTAAATCAATCCTCCCCAGGCTGCTTCTGCATCAGCTGCTGAAACAAAGGCTGGCGTTTAATAATTCACCGGGCTTCCAGAAAGTTTCCCTTCCCTTGGGTGCGGTGTCACCCGCCCTGTGCTCCTCACCCCAGCGCCGCAGGGAGAGGACAGCCCTGGCGCGGCCGGGCTGCGTGCAGCGCGAAGACCTGGCTGAAGGAATAATATCCGCAGAAATCCCTCCCTTGCCGTTAGGTTTTGTAATTGTGCTGGCGATTAATTTCATAAAATGGTCTCTTTTGTTCTCTTATTATGGGACATCATAAAAATAGCAGTGGCAAGACGAGCACAGAACGATCCCAGCTCCCGAGCCCTGCGGCGAATGGTTGGATGGTTCTGTCATTCGCACCCCATGCAGTGCTTGCAAAGAGCAGGAGAACCTGGGATTTGCTCTTTCCAAGGAATTTCTTCAAGGCATTTTCGTCTTGGGTTCCTTGAAGCCCAAATGCCTCATTTATCCAAGCAACCAGCCTTCTGAAAGGAATATTTTATTATCCTTTGTGAACAACTTAATGCACTTCAAACCATTGTTCTAGTGGTTAGGGTCGAAATTGAGGATTGATCTCACAGGGAAGCTGTCAAGCTGAAAATGTTTCATTTAAATTAGTGTCCCTTCTAGTCCTACCAGCAACAGCTGACTTTGATAATACTGAAATAATTAGCTTTTTTTTCAGTTGGATTTTTTTTCCACTGATGCTGCCTGCCTCTGAGAGTACGTTCTAATTATACAAAGTGTCTCCCAAATTAGCCTGCAACACTGGACCAGCCGCCGTGCCCAAGCAGTGAGTGACAGTCAGGGACCAGCAGCATGGGGTCACCTGTAGCTTTGTGGCTCAGTAGCTTGGTGGCGCCGAGGGGGCTGGGACCCCCCACCACCTCACTGGGGGACTGGGGCTGCACACCTGCATCCCTGGGGAGCTGCAGCCTGGGCACCCCTGTCGAGACCTGGCTCTGGCTGCGTTTGCACAAATGCTGTGACTTTTTCCCCTGGAAATTCAATTCCTCCTCATTGGAGCTGCCGAAGCCAGCCTCCGTGAGACCCTGTTTGTGGGGGACACGCAGCCCCCATGACAGTGTGTTCATTAATTTGGGGCTCTGTGATCTTGTTACTGAGTGAGAAGCCCAGGGCTCTGCAGGGAGGTTTGTATCTGCTGCTCCTTCTAGGCTGTGGCATGGGAGATATCTGGGTGCTGTGACCCCCCCAGCCTTTCGAACACCAGTCCTTAATCTCAGCCTTTCTCTCCCCTCCCCATGCAGAGACGTGTGCTGTGAACAACGGGGGCTGTGACAGCAAGTGTCACGATGCGGCCACGGGCGTCCACTGCAGCTGCCCCATGGGCTTCATGCTCCAACCCGACAGGAAGACCTGCAAAGGTAGGTGGGTGTGAACAGGGCTGGGGTGCTCATTGCTCACCCCTGGGTGCCTCAGACCCCCTTAAAAAAGGCTCTGTTTTAGCTCAGCCCTACACTGCCCACAGTGTTCACTGGTTTGGTGTTTGCATCCATGGGGTGGGGACAGGAATCACCCCCCTGTGCGGGCACTTGGACATCTTACTGCAGGCACCATGCATAGCCCTGCTCCTCTGGAAAGGCTATAGAGAGGAGGAAAAGGAGGCCAGGTCAAATGGGAGGCGATGGCATATCCCTTGTGGGGCTGGAGTGCCCTGTCCCATCTCACTCCACCCCAGTGGTTCAGCTGCCCCGGGGTAGGTCTGGGTGTGCAGGGAATCAACACCTGCTCTGACAGTTTGAGCTGCATGAGTTCCTCTGGGGTCACTGCCCAGCCAGGTCCGAGCACCGTTGTCCCACTTGGGGGAGAATATTCTGAGATGCAGCACATCCCACTGACATCCCCAACCACCTCCCCCACAAGGCAGGGCAGTCAAGGCTGATTATTCCAGCACAACAGACTTGTCCCCCTTGGGGGTGCCCAGTGCCTGTGTTGTGTCTTTTGGCAGCTCCGGGAACTTGACCCCAGCTGAAAGGAAAGCTTGTCTTGCTGCTGACTGCCTATCTACCTGCTGACTGCTTCCAGAACCCCCTGCCCTGGGTATTTTATCAGAGCAGCCCCCCCTCTCCAATTCTGCAGTTTCCAGGAACATGCAATAACCCAGAGCCACGGCCCCTGTGTCTGGGGTTTTACTATGGCTGCGGGTGGGTTTACAGCTCACTCCCTCGCAGTCATAAAAAAGAAAGCCTCAACCTCATTGAGGCAGAGCTGTTACCCTAGTGCTGGAGGATGGAGGGACAGGGCAGGCCACTTCCTCTTCCTGGTCTCCTTCCATTTTACAAGTCATTTCCTAGCAGTAAATTTTGTGATTAGTGGAAAAATTAGAAAAACAACTGAAACAACAGCCTCATTCCAGGTTGTTGGGGCTCTTTGCAATTATTGTGTGTTGTCCTTTTTAGCTTTGGCTTTCATGGCAGGAAGGTGATGGCAAGCAGAGAGGCCAGGGCTGAAAAGTAGTTATTTTGTCAAGTGGCTCTTTTTGAAAGAGAGGTTTTCCCTTCTGGATTTTCTCTCTCTTCCTGTTGCTCCTGGTCCCCCAAAGCAGCCCCCAGCCCAAACTCATGACTCTGCAAATTCTGGTCTGGTGTTCTCCCTCAGCTGCAAGGCTCTTTCAGAGACCCAGCTCTGCTCCAGGGAATGCTGAGACCTGTAGAAATTAGTTGTTTTGCACCACTTTCAAGAAGAGCTGAGCCCAGAGTCCTGCCAGTGTCACACATTGGCTCCCCAGATGCACTCAGAGAAAACCAGCACCCATATTTACCCTGGTGACCATCAGAGCCCAAGGGGTTTCCTCTGCTTGCCAGCTCCGGAGGGGAGCACCCATCTCTCCTGGGCAAGCATCCCAGACAGGGTGTGACGGGTGTCCCTTGTCCCTACCAGACATTGACGAGTGCCGGCTCAACAACGGCGGCTGTGACCACATCTGCAGGAACACCGTGGGCAGCTTTGAGTGCAGCTGCAAGAAGGGCTACAAGCTGCTCATCAATGAGAGGAACTGCCAAGGTAAGGGACAGGGGGCCCCTAGCACCCTGCCCTGTCCAGGGATGGCACCTCTCTCCCGTGTCTCGCAGCCCTCCCACAGCTGCTGCTGGAGGAGTGCTGCTCCAGTTACTCATTCCTCTGGACCGCGTACATCCTTTGGCGGATTAGTGCCGGATTTGGGTTCTGGTCTGGGGCTTAGCCCTTTGATCTCAGAGCTGGGGACTTGTGGGCTCTTCTCGCAGCAGAGTTAAAGCCGGCAATTAGACACATGCCAGGCTTCCTGCTATTTAGAGGGCAGGAGCTGGGGGGAAGATGCCTCCTGTTCATTCCGGAGGGAGCTGGCTGCTCCATGCTGTTTCTTTCACCTTTTTCTCTCTGTCTCGACATCCTTCTGCACGTTCCACATAAACACAGCAGGTTTAAATGGCCCAGCAGGTCACTGGGCTGTCCTGGTAGGAATGTGGAGCTCTGCCCCTAAGCCCACAGCCAAGGTCAGCATGGCAGGTGTGCATGAGCCTGAGTGTTGCCTCCTGAAAGCACACGACTGGGGAAGGAGGAGGCTGGCATGCTCTGGGGCTGCCACTGCTTTCATCCACCTCCAGGTTCTGTGCTCTGGGAGTTTGACATGAGCGCAGCAATTAACTTAATGAAGCCAATGAAATGACGCTCCAACCTGCCAGGTTGGGCTCACCCCACAGGGCCAAGCAGATATCCCTGGCACCATCCCTGTGGCAGGACCTGCCTGTGCAGCATTCCTCATCCCGCCCTGGCACGGGGCTGAGCACTGGCCAGGCAGCAGCCAGCTAGGGGCTTTCACAGCCCTCCCGTGCCAAGGACATGGTGCTGGCCCCGTTTGGTCCATTTGAGGTGCAGAGGGGCTGCAGCAGCTTGCAGCAAGGGGATGCTGGTGTACTGGATGAGGAGGGAGCTTGGAGGCAGTCAGGGTGGGAGCACAGGGTCCTGTAGCATACTGGTGCTCTATCCCCAGAGCAGTCTGGTTCTGGATCCTTGGAGCATCCCAGTGCAGGGTCTCATAGCATCACAGTGCAGCTCCAGCTTGTTGGAGCAGTTGGAGCAGGAAGGGGACAGCCTTTGTGTCATGAATGACCTGTCCACTGCACCAGCCCTTACCTCCTCCCCTTGCTTTCCTCCAGACATCGACGAGTGCTCCTTTGACCGGACCTGTGACCACCTCTGCATCAACACTCCCGGCAGCTTCCAGTGCCTCTGTCACAAGGGCTACACGCTGTATGGGCTCACACACTGTGGAGGTAGGGCCAGCTGGGGGCTGGCAGCAGCAGCCTGGGGCCCCACAGGGTTCGGGTCCCAAGGAGGCACATGGGACCCCCGGGGGTGGGGCAGCCCCACGGTAGGGCTGCTGTGGCACCCCTGGGGATAGTGTTCACCCCAAGGGCCCATAAAAAGGGTCGGTTCCACGCATACCCTGGGCTGAGGCCAAGCAGGGAGGGGGCTCACAGCCAGACAAGCTGGTGTCTGCAACTTCAAACAGAGCGACAGGAACAATTTGCGACTTGTCTGCAGCAGGAGAGAGGGAGAAATCCCCGGCGTTTTTGGCAGGGAGCTGGGACAGGGTGGGAAGGGAAACATCAAAAGGATTTGATTTAAATTTCACAAGGCAGATAGCTCCCAAGGGCGGGGGCGTGCAGCGCCCGGGAAGCGGGGAGGCAGATGAAACATGCTTTGGAGGGGTTGCCGAAGCGTGTCGTGGCAGTGGTGCCTGCAGCCCAGGATGACGGCAGCAGGAGGCCGGGTGCTCCGATGCCTCCAGCTGGTGAGGGCAAGCACCCTTCTCATAGTCCCAAAATATGCAGCTAGCATGAGCCAGCACAGCTCCCAGATCCTTTCAGGGTGACCCTGCAGCAGAGGATTTGATGGCTTCCACCAGTGCACCCAGAGAGGGGGAGATGAGCTGGGAGGGCTGTGGGGGGCAGCTCCATCCCTGCCATGCTTCATGCCAGACCTGAATCATAAACACCCTGTCTCAAGCCGGGGCAGAGGGTCCCTGTTGAGAAGAGAGGCCAGGGCTACTGAGCAGCTGCATTTGAATTAGGCTCCCAGGTGTTTCCATGTCAGCACTATCTGCTGTCTCCCCTGCAGCTCCTCAGCCCACCAGGGGCCAGAGCTGAACTCAGCCTGCATGGGCTGCACCCATCACCATTCAGCCCTTGGGGACACCAGGAGTCGGGGTGTCCCTCATTCCCATGAAGCTGGCATGGCTGGAAGTGCCCTGTGGTGCAGATCCCCTGTCCCAGTGTCAGAGCCAGGGGTCTCACTGACCCTCACCCCCTGCCTCTCCCTTCCTTCCCCAGACATCGACGAATGCAGCATCAACCGGGGTGGCTGCAAATTCGGCTGCATCAACACACCTGGCAGCTATCAGTGTACCTGTCCCACTGGCTGCAAGCTGCACTGGAACAAGAAGGACTGTGTCGGTATGTCAGGCCAGGAGCCACCGCAGCTGGTGGAGGAGTTGGAGGATTTGAGATGCCAGGCTGGCATCCCTATGCCATGCTCTGGAGCCCTCTCCTCCCCACTGAATCCCCCCATGAGCTGGGAGGGCGCAGGGGTCTCTCGTGGGTCCCTGGGCTGTGCCAGCCACAGGTGTCCCTGATTGTCATCACCAGCCGGCGCGTGTCCCATGGAGCTGGTGAAATGCCTGCCAGGTTCGGTGCCACCGCGGGCCACCCTCACCTGCAACAAGACAGGCAAGAAGGATAGCTGTGCCCTCTCCTGCACCTCCAAGGCACGATTTCTGCCAGGTACCAGTGCTAGTGCCATGGCCAGCTTGGGCAGAGGGGTCCCCATTTCCCTGCATGGCCTAAAGTCAGGGGAGGGAGAATGGCTGCACAGCTGGGGTACAGAGAACCCAAGCAGTGTCTGGGTGAGGGAGGGAAGTTGTTGCTCAGGAGGACTCATCACTGGGTGTAGACCCATGGGATGGGTCCCTGGTGCAGGATCCCCATGGCAGGGTGCTAGGCATCGTCCCCCCACAGCACAGCCGTGCCTCCCTGCATCACCCTGGCAGAGCACCACGGGAACCGGACAGTTGCTCTGGCATCCACCAACTCCCCTTCCTCCTCCACAGAGTCCGACAGCAGCTACACGGTGAGCTGTGGGACCCCCATCCTGCGGCAGGGTAGCCAGCACAGACCCACAAACAGCAGCCAGCAGTGCCTCGGTAAGGGGGCTCCTGAGGTGCCCATGGTCACCAGCCAGGCTGGGCTGTGCCAGGTTGCTGAGCACCTGCCTTTTCTTTTAGAGACTGTCACTGCACCAGTCAAGCAGAAGGCCTCCTTCAAGATCAAGGATGCCAAATGTCACCTGCACCCACGGGCCAAGGGCAAGCAGGATGAGGCTGGGAAGGCTGGGGCACAAGGTGAGTTGTGATGGCAGGGGGCCAGTGGGGGTGCCCGTTCCCCCAGCAGGGATGGGGTTCTGACCTGTTTCCCCACGTGCAGGTGGTTCGGCACCTTGTTCTGACTGCCAGGTTACCTTTGTCAACCTCAAGTGTGACTCAACCAAGAAGGGGAAGGGCCGCCGGGCTCGCAACTCACCCAGCAAAGAGGTGACACGCATCACATTGGAGTTCGAGGCGGAGATCAAGCCAGAGGAGATCACAGGTGGGTACAGCACTGGCCTGGTCTGTCTCAGGTGCAGGCAGCGGTGGTGGGACCACAGAGACAGTAGTGGGACCAGGGACACAATACCATCCCTGTGCAGCAAGGAGAGACAAACTAGTCATCATCCTTCACTGGACTGGGAAGTACTGGGCAGTGTTTCCAACTGAGCGTGGGGGGGATGCTTTTAATCCTTTTGGGTTTCCCTCTCCATCCCTCCTTCTTACTGCATCCTTGTTTCCCCCTGCACCCCTATTTCCTTCTGCTTCCCCAGCCAGCTGCAACCTGCACTGCCTGCGACAGAGAGTGGAGAAAAAACTGAAGTCAGCCATCAAAGCCCTGAAGAAATCCATCAACCAGGAGCGGTTCCTGCTCCGCTTCGCAGGGATGGAGTACGAGGTGGCGCGGAAGCTGAGCGTGGCCCCGGAGCGGCAGGAGAGCTGCGGGCCAGGCCAGCAGCGCCTGGCTGGCAAGTGTGGTAAGGAGCAGGAAGGTGGTGTCTGGGGGCCCCCAGCGGTGACAACCCCCACAGCATCACCGATGTCCCTCCCCGGCTCTCAGTCAGCTGCTCGCAGGGAACCTATTACAATGGGCAGACGGAGCAGTGTGTGCCCTGTCCCCCCGGCACCTACCAGGAGAAGGAGGGGCAGCTTTCCTGTGACCTGTGTCCCCGCGGCGACACATTCGGACCCGTAGGAGCCACCAACATCACCAGCTGCACAGGTAAGGGGAGCATGGAGTGGGACTGGAGGCACACTTGGGGAACGTCCAAGGCTGCAAGCTCAACCATCAGCCAGAAGAGGGGAAAGCCCTAAGCATTGCCAGAGCCCAGAGAAGTTGCTACTTTGGGTGTTAATCATTTTGAGGGGACCTTAGGAAAGGCAGCATTTGCTCTGGATATATTAGTCCTGCCAAGGCTGTTGGGGGAGAGGATTTGGACATGGGGTAGGAGAGCTCTGGGCATATGGGGTGCCAGGACTGAGCGATGCCTGTGCCCACAGGTCAGTGTCCCCCTGGCCAGCACTCTGTTGATGGCTTCAAACCCTGCCAGCTGTGTCCCCGTGGGTCCTACCAGCCCGAAGTAGGACGGGCGCTCTGCTTCCCTTGTGGTGGGGGGCTGACCACCCGCCACGAGGGAGCCCTCTCCTTCCAGGACTGCGACACCAAAGGTAGGTCAGAGCTGGTCCCTAGGGAGGGGGCACCCAGAGGGGTTGTGCTGGCAGCTGAAACAGCCCCCTTTGCTCTCTGACCCCACAGTCCAGTGCTCCCCTGGGCACTACTACAACACAAGTGTCCACCGCTGCATCCGCTGCGCTGTGGGCACCTACCAGCCTGATTTCCGGCAGAATTACTGCATTGCCTGTCCTGGCAACACCACCACTGACTTCGATGGCTCCACCTCTGTGTCCCAGTGCAAAAGTAGGCGAGCTGGGGTGCAATGGGGGCAGGGTGGGGCGAGCAGGGTGTTAGGTATGGGGTCCTTCCTATCTATATTTTATCTGTATTTAAAAATTCTGTAAGATAGAGTTATAGACTTTGGGGTCACTTCAGTGCTTTATGCATGCAGGCAGGCATGGGGGGATGCATGGAGCAGTGCTAATGGAATACACCCCTTCGCCCAGTAAACCACCCCTAGGGGAACACTCCACCCCCAGTGCCCGTGGTACTGTTTCCCAGTGGAACCGACTCTCCCCCATGCCTTGCAGACCGGCAGTGTGGAGGGGAGCTGGGTGAGTACACAGGCTACATCGAGTCGCCAAACTACCCAGGGAATTACCCTGCCAATGTCGAGTGCACCTGGAACATCAACCCGCCACCCAAGCGCAAGATCCTCATCGTGGTGCCAGAGATCTTCCTCCCCTCTGAGGACGAGTGTGGCGACGTCTTGGTCATGCGGAAAAACTGTAGGTAACCGAGCAGGCCGTGGTGCTCATGGGAGGAGCTGAGGGAGGAAAAGTTCAGGGTTTGGCACAGCTGCCTTGTGCAAAGGGAGAAAGCCACATCCCTGGCCAGCAGGAGGGGAATTTTGGGAACTGAGTGGAGAGATCAGCATCACCTTACTGGCCTGGTGTCTTGCTGGATCAGGGGGATGTTGATGGGCTGGGCTGCACACCTGGGTCTCAGCATTACTTTTTGTGGGTAAAAAGCCCCATTTGGAGATTTCCAGAGCAAGGAAGGAATAACAACATCCCTAGTATGTAACATGAGGGTTAGAGGGGCTCAGCCTTGCCCAACACAGACAATCCCCATCCCTGGTGCTGCCCTTCACCCTGAACCTTTTAGCCCAGCTGGGGGTAGGTCCACTGATGGGCAACTGGTATCCTGTGTCCCTTGCCATTCCCTGCAGCCTCCCCATCCTCTATCACCACCTATGAGACGTGCCAGACCTATGAGAGGCCCATCGCCTTCACCGCCCGCTCCCGGAAACTGTGGATCAACTTCAAAACCAGTGAAGCTAACAGCGCCCGGGGCTTCCAGATCCCTTATGTCACCTATGACGGTGAGCACAGGGCACAGAAGACACTACTTTGGCAGGCTGATGCCGCCCTGCCCAGCTTGGGACCCAGGTCACCCCCAATTGACACCTCCTGTGTGTTTTGGGGGGAGTTGACTCAGGGATGGGGACCAGATGCTTGGACACAAGTGGCAGCTCATGCCCTGACTGTGTTTTTCGGCTGGGTGTTGCAGAGGACTATGAGCAGCTGGTGGAGGACATTGTGCGGGATGGAAGACTCTACGCCTCTGAAAACCACCAGGAGATCCTCAAGGTGAGTGTGTGCCCCCATGTCCATGCTACCCAGGGCTGCAGGGGATGCAGGAACATCCTTCCCTTCAGGGGTGCCTCATGCTCTCCCTGCACTCAGGGGTTCAGTTTGGAGCCGCTGCAGGGGAGCACAAGGCAGGGTGGTGAACCTCCCTCTGGCTCGGCTTCCCTGCAGGACAAGAAGCTCATCAAAGCTTTCTTCGACGTGCTGGCACACCCCCAGAACTACTTCAAGTACACTGAGAAGCACAAGGAGATGCTGCCCCGCTCCTTCATCAAACTCCTTCGCTCCAAAGTCTCAAGCTTCCTTCGGCCTTACAAATAGCCCCTCCGTGCCCCTGCTGTCCTGGGCCGCCCCACAGCCAAGGAAACCCTCTTCTCCCTTCCTTCTCCTTTCCGATTTTTCCTTCCTCCACCCAGCTCTGGCAGGATCACCACCGCTCGTCCCGCAAGACATCTCCCCATGATTTCCCCACCGCTCCCTGCAGAGCAGTGCTCCCAGCCTTGGGGATGCTCTGGCCTCATCCAGCTGGGGACGAAGCCACTCCCCTTTTTAAAAGCAGCTTCTTCGTTGTAGGAAACTGAAGTACTGATCCTTTCACTGTCCTCTGTCCTGCCTTTGGTTTCCTTTTTGCCAGGCCTGTCCACATTCCCTGGTGCCACTGGCAGCCCAGGACACTGAGGGGGTCATTGTCCTTCCAGCCCTTGGGGCTGGTGCCAGCTGCAGCCCCACAGAGAGCCCTTGGCAGAGGAGTGCAGGAGGTGACACCATGCCCACCACAGCGCTGGGCCACGGGCATCGGTGCTGCTTTGCAGAGGTTGGGGGAAAGACAACTGACAAAGCCAACTTGATTAAAAAGGAAATGTAAAGGAGAGATGGCAAAGCCCACCAGCGTGGCAGCGTGGTGGCTCCGTGGCCATCCCACTGGAGAGCCGGGCTGGCACTGGGAGGGAAGTGCAGCCAAGCCACGTTCCCAGAGAACAATGTCTGGCTGCACGGGAGAAAACAGGGAGCAAAGGAGAAGGACTTTCAGCTGGGTTCGATTTTTTTTCCCCCAACTCCAGACACTTGTGCCAAGAAACCAGACTTTGTTACAAGCTCGGCCAAAGAGTAACTCAGAAAAGCAAGCTTTGAGAAGAGCAGGAGTCAATGTTTGTGCACTAGGATATACTCCTTTCTACCTTTCTCATATGTATTAAGTGCAATCATTTGAATCTTCTTTATATTATTTAGAGGGAAGTTGTTTTTGTTTTTTTTTCTACTAGAAACGACAATATTTATACCTGCCTGAGAAATGAGAATGTGCATTTGCAAGAAAACAAAAACCACCCACCTAGAGCAAGCCCAGCCCTGGGCTGCACTGACCGGCATGATGGCGTCTTCAAACCTTTTCTGCCACATTTGTCCCCAGTAAAAGCCCCTGTTCTGGGGGGAGATGGTGTCTCCTGCTCAGCGCAATGGGGTGAGTTTTTGCAGGGAGTTTGAGGCGTCTTGATCTGTCCACAGGGGGTGGAGCAGCTGGGTTGGCCATGCCCTTTCACGCTCATCTGCCACGGTTTGGGTGTTGTTCAAGCCTCATTGTGAGGGGGATCAAAACTCGGCCCATCATCTGCTTGTTGCAAACTGATCTGCTTTCCTGCAGGGGCTCAGGGACAAGCCAAGACCCTGGAAGACGGGATGGCAGCTCCTAAGGCCAGGTCAGGGGGGCACACTGGGAGGAGAGGGGAGCTGCCCTTCCACTCAGCCCCTAAATCTTTCCCCCAGGTATGGAGAGACCTGGAGGCAGAGCCACCCTCCCGCCTCTGGGCAGGCTTTGTGCTTCCAAATCTCTCTTCCAAGGTGCTTTTGGCTCCATCCTTCTGCATGTGCTTGTCCCACAGGCACGCTGTGGGAGCCCCTCCCCAGGGAATGGGGTGCAGATCCCAGGAAAGACCCATCCTGCCACCCGCTGTTTCACTGCCACCTGCCTGCCCCCTGCTTTGCAGAAAGGCTTGGCTTGGGACAAGAGCCAGGTGGACACCATTGGTGGGTTTGACCACCAGCATCTTCATCCAGACAGACAGGACCCCCAAGGACAGGTGACTGCTGCAGTCATCCCTCCTCATCCTCCCCAAGCCTCCCTCCCTTTCCAGCCCTGCCACCAGCTCTCAGCTGTCACCTTCCTGTGCCTTCATCCCCATCTTCATCCTCTCAAAAACCTGGAGTTGCCAGGACTAAACATGGTCAACTTGCCTACAGCTCTGCCAGAGGCAGGTCCCCTCCTACCCTTGTCCCCGCTCGTCCCTCCCCATCCCTTTGCCCACACCTGGGCCCATGTGCCAGGCCCTGCTTTTAACAAACCAATTATTTATTGCTCTGCATATCCAACCGGGTCTGTCTTTCCTGAACCTGGGAGGCAGCTGCTTATCCCTGTTTTCCGTCCTTGATCCACGCTGCTCCAGCACTCCAAGAGCCTCTCCCAGGCTCCGTGAGGGGCTGCTGGCAGGGTGAACACTGGCACAGGGGCTGAGGTTTGTCCCCAGGATGCATCAGTTAGAAAAGTCTGTCCTGATTCATCCCAGCTGTGGATTTTCCCCTCCTGCCGCCGGCTCCCAGCCTGTTTGGAAGCTCCACATCTGTGGGCCGAGCTGTTTGCCACTTGGTCGCTGTCTGAAAGCAGCTGCTTTGATGCACAAAAGCTGCTGCAGGGATCTGGAGGGGTTCTGTGGCTCTGGAACAGTCGTGTGAGGCAGTGACCCTTGAAAGGGTCCTTCATATTCAGAAGAAAAAAAAACAACAGCAAAAATACAACAAGCCTGGGAATGACCAAACCCACTGTGATGCCACAGTGCATAGCTGCCTTCATGTCCAGCAAAGAGTTCATTAACTCTAACATGGGCTTCACTGTCCCACTGACCCTGTGGGGGTGGGCCACAGAGCATCCCAGTTGTCACCCTTGTCACAACCACCACCTCTGCTCCCCTAAAGCAGTTCTGGAAGGATGAGGTGGAAAACATGTCCTGTAACGGCACCTCTTCCTCCTCCTTTCACCAAATAGCTCAAAAAACCCCAAAAAAGTCCACGAGGCCCCCAGAGTCACCTACCCCAATGTGGCTCAGCCCCACTCCCCACCCACCCCCACCTCAGAAAGGGTTTCAAAGGCTGAAACCCACACCAGCCACCTAAGGGATGAACTGAATGTTTCGACGTGAACAGAAATTAGGGTTGTTGGGCTTTTGGTTGGTTTCTTTTTTCATGTTGGAGTATTTATATCTGGCTTTTGCAGCAGGCCAGGACTTGCCATCTCCAGCAAAAATGATTAAAGTGATGAGCAAGATGTAGTTCATGAAGTTATTTGCACTTGATTAAAAGAAAAATGTATTTGAACTTTGTAAAAAGAAATGTTTGCATTTTGTATTGTCTTTTTTTAATTATTAAATGGAATTTCTTGGTGTCGTGTTGATCTTACAAAAAAATGGCTTGGATGCTTATTTGAAAGGTTTCTAACAGCAGGATCCAGAGCTATTTTCATTGTTTTGTTCCCTCAGATGCTGACAAGCTTTTCCAGGGCCTGGGGTATTTTTTTTCCCTGTTCAGACTTTCCTAAGCTCACTAGTCCCAGCACAATATATTTATTTATGCCCATTAATTAGATGCAACAAATCTGATTTTTAGCCCAGGAGTTGGACATAAGCTGCCTCAGAGGGAAGAGATGGAACACTGTACCCTCGGTCCCAAACCCCTTGCTGGGCATCCCTGGACAGCTCGATGATGCCCATCAAATCCTCACACACTGCACCTTGGGCAGAATCCCCCTGCCCCAGGCTGGAGCACTAGAAGCCTTTATAAGCTGGTGCCCCCCTCAGATTAAGGGTGGGCTCTGCAGCAGGAGGGCCTCAGGTAAGCACTGCACGAGGTAAGGGTCCACTCTGTGGGCACAGGGGGACCTGAGGTCCATAGTTTAACTGTTGAAACTCCACAGGCCCCCAGGACACCTCTGCTCTGATCAGTCTGGGGCAAGTGAAGCCATTCCCCCTCCCTGTTCTGAATGCAGAGATGAGGCCCCTTCCCTCAAAAGCTCCATATACCACTTGGAATTCACATCCCTACCAACTCAATGCAGCATCTGAGACGTGCCTCACCACAGCTCACTGGTAAACCCACCCCAAGGAGCTCTGGAGTAACAGAACCACACACGGCCACGGGTGCCCACAGAGTTTATTGCTGCGCCCTTAGTAGAGGCGCTGGGGCTTCCCCATGGTGCTCTTGATGTACAGAGCTCGCACATTCTGCCAGTTCTTCTTCAGCAGAGACACCAGGAAGTTGATGGCCAGGTGGATGTTGTAGACAAGTTCATCCTCTGTCATCTTCACATGACCGACAGCCACAGCCAGACAGAGCACCTGTGGACATACACCGGGTACACGTTTCACAGGCAAAGCAAAGGTGCTGACCTCAACTCATCTGTGTGCTGGACTGTCCCACAGTCTGTCCGCTGGACACAGCTTCCCCAGCCCATCCAGGGGGTTTTCCAGGGCCTGCTGCACCTGGCCTGTGGCTCCCTGTGCCCTTAGCCCCCAGATGCCACCTCTAACGCACACAGAGGTAACTGGGAGAAGGTGGGATCACCACTGCATCCCAGAGACAGCGATACCAGGAAGGACACGCGACACGCTGTGCAGAGCCAGCACCTGAGCAGACCCCAAGGTTAACCCTGTTCCCACACTCGCTCTGCCAAAGGCTGACCTAGGGACCTGCCATTGGCCCCCAACTCCTCTGACAAGCCCTGCATCAGCTTCACTTTCTGTTTTGGGCACCAGGCACCAGTGGCAGAGTTGTCGGCCTGCCTCCACTTGCCTGCCCAGCCTCCCTGAGCAGCCTGGAACTCAATGCTCCCTGCAGGCTGGAGACAGAATTTATGAGCGAGCCATCAGGCCAAATGCTGGGACATCATTAGCTGAGCTACTTCAAATGCTCAGGCATTTGCAAACCCTCACATCTGCTCCAGCTGGAGCCCAAGGGTGCACCTCAGCTGGCAGAGCTCTTAATTCTGAGTGACACCCAGGAGTCAGACTTGGCCCAAACACAGAATTAAAATGCCTCAACAAGGTTATTTTGGCTTTAGGAAGTCAGCTTGCCTTGAAGTGAGAGCAGATCCCTGCAGAGTTGCTCCCCAAGTTCACTTGCAGTCAAGTCCCAGACTTGCCCCTGGCAAAGCCCTGCTTGTGTTCAGCCCCCCATGGACATGCCCAGCCAGGGCTAACCCTATGAGTCACCCCCGTGCTGGAAGAAGTGTTAACTGCACTGGATTGTGCTCCACACTGAAATATCAAATCGTCTCATAATCATTTGCTTCCAGATCTGTCAACCACAGAAAAATTATTCCTCCTTTCTGATTGGCAGCAGACGTCTCCCTTTGCTGGAGGAAACACTCGAGGGACACCTACAGCCCATCCCAGAGATTGCAGACACAGAACTGCCTTGGAGAGGAACTTTACCTTCTTCATCTGAAATTTAATGGTTGATTTGACCTCATCAACCTTAGCCACCAGGTTTTCGTTGTGGGTGAGCAGAGAAGGGAATTTCCCAGCTTTGTTCAGGCCCGGGCCCAGGATTCGAGGAATCTGCTTGATCAAGGACTCAGAAGCCAGGAAGGCATCGTACTTCTTAGCTGCAAAGAGAGAACCAGGGAGGTGAGGACAAACTCTGCTCTGACACTGAGCTCCTAGTGAGCGGCTCAGCCAAGCCTGCACAGCTCAACTTCCCCCAACAGACATTACTGTGGTCCCACCTGGACAGGGGCTGGTTTTACCAACCATCTATCAGGAATGACTGTCACAGCAGCCAGACCCCAGCCCCACTCCTGACATGGACTCCGAATGGCACACAGCTCGTTCCCTAAAGGAACTGTCCTTTGCTGAGACCCAGGTGACACTGAACTCTTAAGCTCTGCCAGGACCCTCCTGCCACAGCCTATGCACACCAGGATGGACAACCCATCTAGGAGAGACTTAGCCAACAGCCACAGTATCCCATGTCACTTCCTAACTGCACATGATTCCATGGTTGATTACTGATTGAGTGTCAAGTTCTTGTCTGCCTCAGGAATGTGTACCAGAGATTCCAGAGTTCCCAGGGAAGGAAGGATTTTCTCTCCAAGAGAAAATGGACAAATTTTATTCTATTCATGTAAGAGCTGCAGGACTAAATCACACTCTTGCCTCCAGCATTTCTCTGCTTTTGCTGCCCTCCACATCCTTGATCAGGAAATCAAGGAACACAGCAAAGGGTCAAACTGTGTGACAGGGATGTTTTCCTGCGTCCTTCCCTTCCTGCTGCAGGACAACCAGTCCAACTCCTGCAGCACCGACCTGTCAGACCTCCGTTGCCAACAGTTTGGTGGCTTTTCTGGGTAGTTTCTAGGCAGACTTTGGTACTCTGCTCAGTTTTCTATCCCTGGAGCTAACCACATGGAAATATGAGCTAAGAGAAAAACTCCTGCTTACCCAGACCCCTCCCAAGTTGGTCAAGGTATTCAGAGCCTGACCCACACTCACCCAACTTCTTCACCAGTTTCTTGTTTTTGTTGAGTTTCTTCAGAGCTTCTATGTCCATGTGAGGGATGTCAACTGCTTTGGCCTCATCACAGTGTTGCTGGTCCCCCAACAGACAGACCGAGAACTTGGGCCGTGGCGTCGACTTCAGCCTGGGGATGAAAGGTCCGAGTCAGTGCCTTACCAGCACCGCTCCCGTGTCCTTGGAGCCAGCACGGAGACACCTTACCACAGCACGGGGCGTCCTGCACCGCTGCTCACCTGCCGTCCCCAGCAGGCCGGTGGGGACAGCCCGGGGGGCTCCCACACCTCCCCTCATGTTTTAAGACCCAGGGTGAGGGTCCGTCCAGCCGCTCCCGCTGGGCCGGGGCGCTCTGGACTCCCCGAGCGGTTCGGCGCCGCGGCGGCCCCGGGCAGGGCCGGGCAGCACCGAAGGCTGGGTGGGAGCGAGAGAATGGCGAACCTGACGGTGCCGGAGAACCGCTTGTCCTTCTGGGGGTCGTAGTTCTTGAGGCTGATCTGCAGCTCCACGGTCTCCACGAACCTGCGAGAGGCAGCGGGTGAGGCTCGGCCGGGTGGGAGGAGGCCAAGGCCGGGCGCCACACGCCCGGTCCCGCCGCGTCTGGGACTCTTACTTGCGCTTTTTGGCGCGGCTGCCGTGCAGCACCTCCTTCACCGCTTCGTACAGGGTGTCCCGGGACACTTTGCTGCTGCGGGGGGAAACGGCAGAGCGGGCTCAGGGCCGGCCCCGCCCGGGACGCGGCCCCGAACCCGCCCCGGCCCCCGCGCACTCCTCCCGCCATCGGGCACACGGCCCGCGCCCCAGCGGCCGCACACAGCCCCGCGGCCGGGGCGGATGGCGGCGGATGCGGCGCCAGCCCGGACCCACCTCATGGCGGCGGCTGCTCGGGCCGAAAGGGAGGAGGAGCTCCCGGCGCGGCATAAATGGGAGCGAGATCTCGCGAGACTTAGCCACGCGAGACCATGGCGGGAGCGGGGCCGCCATGTTGGGAGCGGCGGCGAATGCCGCCCTCCCCCGCCCGCGTGTCCTTCCCTGTCAAACGAACAACCAGGGGCTCTTTGACTCCTGTCGCGGACCACCAGGACAGGGGCTCGTCCATCGATTCACAGCACATCCCAGGAGCCCCTGGCTCCCCTGAGCAGCTGCCGGGAAGAAGACGGGGCGAACCCGCTGCGTCGAGGAGCAGGCTGGGCAGGCTCCCCGCGCGCGGCAGTGCTCTACAACACCGACATTAGGCAGGTCCCGCTGGCCGCCCGCGCATCCCCCGGCCGGCGAGGACAAGGGAAAGCGGTGCCTCACGGCTTCAGCGTTGGCACCGCGCATGCCCCGCGCTGGCCGCCCCGCCCCGGAACCTGCATTGAGGCCGCGGGCGGCGGCCCCGCCGCCGTGCGGGGTGGGCGGGGCCGCCGCCGTGCGGGGTGGGCGGGGCCGCCGCGTGCATGTCGGTCCGGTGGCGGGCCCGGGCCCGGGCCTGGCGGGTCGTTCAGGTCGGTGCGGGGCGCGATGGCGGCCGGGCCTCGGGGCTGCCCCAGCCCCTGGTGCCTCGCGGGGAGAGCTCGCCCTGTCCCCCGCCATCCCCGGGTCCGACCGGCTGCTCCCCTCGGGCCTTGCTCTCCCCCGGTGCCGTCGCACCGCAGCCCCGTACGGGCGGCGCAGCAGTGCAGGGGGAACGAACCCCGGCAGGACCCGCTGCAGCCGCAGAGGAGCCTCAGCCGGGTGCGGGGAGTGCGTGGTGAGGCGTACCGAGGGGACTCAAAGCCGAGCTCACCCTGGGCTGCGGCGGGGACGAACAGGGCGGTCCGACTTGTTCCTGGAAATCAGACGATAAAATATTTGGTTATCTCAGAGATGGCTCAGGAAGAACCCACTGTAGCTGCTTTGAAAGATAATCTGTCAGCAGAGAACCTCTTTAGCAAAATGTTCCTGTGGGCGTCTGGTGGTTTTAATATAATGTGCTTAGAGCCTGAAATTCTGTTTTTCAGAAGGCTGGGAATTAGTCAGGAAAGGGAGGAGAGCAGGATGCTTCCAGGGATAAAGCTCATCATCCTGCCCCTGTCTCTTGCAGTACAGGACACGCTCAGCCTGTAGGTTCAATCCTTATAGTACTTGGAAACCCTCCCTGCAGAAAATTTGGAAGAGGGGAAGGGCTTGAATGTGGCATTTGCACTGTCTCAAAGAAGAGTCTGTCAGTTCACTGGTGTGACAAGCTTTATTTTATGTTTGTCTACGGAATAGATTGTTAGCCCTGCCTGCCATTGCTGGGGGAAGGATGCAGCATTGTCCATCTTAATCCTTTATAACCTCAAAAGTAGTTTGAGGCCATTCAAGTCGTTCCTGGTGTGCAAAAGTGAGTATACATCTGAGGAGAGAAAATAAAATGGAATTGTTCTTTTTACTTAAGGCTTGCAGCAAAAAGGACGGCTCAGTGTCCCCCAGGCCCCTGCCTCTGGGCCCGGTGCTCCCGGCGGGATGGAGAGCCTGGGGCTGCCAGCAGTGACCCTCAGGGATGGCACCACGGCCTACCTGCAGCAGGCTGCCAGAGGTAACGGAGCCTCGGGCTGCTGGGGCTCAAAGTCTTTCTCTGGCTCTGAAATTAAAGTCAGACTTGCCAAAAGTGCCCTCACGGTGAATGAGCTGCCACATGTGTGTGGCCGCTTCACACGAGCAGCACAGATGACTCTGTTGGATTTGAACAGAAGTCCGATAAAATAGAAGTCAGATGTGCCTCTAGTGTGGAAATGAAGCTGTGGAGATGAGAGCTGTTGCTGTAGACAATAAAGGTGCTGTTCAGATGAGATGAGCCCGGTTCTTTCTGGGGTCACTGGGGAAGCAGAGCTGATACTGTGGCTTGAAGGGATCTGTTCCACCAAAACTTGCCTTGGGCTGAGCAGGAGGTTTTCCTTCACTGATGTGCACAGGGATTGGTTCACAGTGCTCTTCTCACTCAGAGAGGTGCCAAATTCAACACTTTCCTTACTTTGGTGAGTGTGAGGTGCCCCCTCCTCCACCACTCTCTGCTCCCAGAACATGAGCATGCTGCTTCCCAGCCTGCAGAACAGGATGGATGAGCTGTGCAGCTCCATGTCTTGGGAGTTGCTCTCTTGCTTTCTTTTCTGTGAAAATTCACTGGAAGTTTATATTCCACATGAGTGCAGTTGGACTAGTGTGATGCCCCCCCCCAAACTTTGTGCTCCAGATGAAACCAACCTGGATTCCACCTGTTCAAGTGGGATGGAGCAATGTCCTCTCTGCATCAAATTTTTGTGTCACCAAGTTATTTATTACAGAATTGCACAGAATCAGGCTTTGTAAGGTTTCAGTCCTCAGAACCCAACCCTGGCACCACGTTAGGCCCCTTTAGGTGCTGTAATTGTTTTCAAGAGTTGATCCTCTGCCAAAGTAGAAAAAAAAGAAATCTCCAGGTACTTGCTGATGCCACTCAGAGCTCCCAGTTGATTGTTTTCTCCAGCACAACTGTAATTGCTTTCTACTAGATTCCAAATGCTCAGCACACAATGTTCTTTCTGCTCCTTGGCACAAACTGCTGTGAGGGGCAGCTTGTCAAGTGATGATGGGTCTTAGTTGTGTGTCCTCCTGTCTAAGAAAGGGCAGCTCTGGCATTTCTGGGAAGTGAAGTGCCAGCAATCCGAGGCAAAGCTGGTCCCTAACAGCCTAGAAGTGACAGTTTCTCCCTTCTGTGAGACTGGTTTCCTTGGGAAGCACGTGGGACAGAGGGACTGGGCTCAGCGGTGCTGATGGGATGTTATAACTGTTTCAGGTGAAAAGCTGATTGAAAGGCAAGTCATTGAACTTGAAGATGGGACTACAGCTTATATCCATCAGGTGACAGTTCAGAAAGGTGAGGACAATACATCCCCCTCTTTCTTTTTGGAAGGACACTGTAGATGTGGCTGCAGCTGTCAATGCTCCAGCACTTGGGCTTCTGTCAGCTCCAGCTCTCACAAAGTCCAGTGCAAGTGTAGCATTTTTGTAGAGGATTTTTTGTTTGTGGTTTTGTGGCTGAATAAACAAGGACATAGAATATGGGATTTCCTGCAAAGTTTTCAACAATCTGTCAAGAAGATCAATTTGGTGGAAGTGTCATTTCACCTGTGGGCTCTCCTCATTGTCAGTCTGACAGACCGCAAGCCCAGTGAGCTGTGTGCTGCTCCCACACAGACTTTGTTTCATGTGGGAGCAGTTGGACAGGAATTTCCTTTGAACTGTGAGATAATATATTACTTTTGGAATAGGTGTTGGTGAAGGGCAGGTGGGGATTGTTGGAAGCAATGCATGAAGCCTTGAAAATCTCATCATTCATGTCAGAAGGGCTCAAATGGTGTCTTAAAAACTGCAGTCGTGGTTGCCTTCGAGGGCAAGCAGGAACCCTGTGTTCTCTCCTGGGAGCCTTAATGCTGTAGGATTTAGGAACTGCCACAGTATTCCCTCCATCCTGAGTCCTTCAGGAAGGTGTGTCGATGTTTCTCCTCTCTTTTAGAGTCTGTGGCTTTGGAAGACGGTCAGCCAGTGGTGCTGGAAGATGGCAGCATGGCCTACATACACAGCACAGCTAAAGGTAAAGTGCTCCCTGCTCTTCCCTTGGCAGCTGGAGCAGAAGCTGCTGAAGTGTCCCAGATTTCCAAGGCTGTGGGTGGCCGGGGAGGTAGAGTACTCTTCTGCCTCACACTCAGCAGCTCTTTACATTTAATGTAATTGGCTTCCTCTTCCAGATGGTTTCGATCCTGGCACCTTCCAGGCCCTGCAGGTGGAGGATGGCTCCACTGCCTACGTCCACCATCCTGTCATTGTGGCACCTGGCAGCACCCTCCTGAAAGTGCAGACAGAAACTGGGCTCGAGGAGTTAGCTAGGGAGGAGGAAGATGATGCCTTTGACGTGGAGACCACGAATGCATTACAGCAGTACAGTAAGGTGAGGGCAAAGCGCTGCTCCCATGGTTTGCCAACAGCACTGTGGGCTGGGGGCCATGTTCGGCCCTCACTTCAGCAGTACTTGTGTATATCTGTCTTTCAACAGTGCCAGCTTTGAGAGAAGCAGCTGGACAGGGCTCCAGGGCAAGTGCCACCACTGATGGGTGGCTGGCAGTTACGGACCCAGAACAGGGCCATTCGGTCCCACAGAGTGCTGGGCCTGCCACCCTTAACGTGCTACAGGCTTGGATTTGGGAAGAGAGGAGAGGTGCTATGATACAGCCTTTGACATGTCAGCAGCGGCTAAACTATGGCTACTGTCCCCATGGTGACAAAGACCTCAAAAAACCAAAACGGCTTTCAATCCTAATGCGTTGTCACTGCAGTGTCCCACCTGAATATCCTGGGTGCTGCCATTTTCTCCCATCTGCATAGCACTGTGTAAATGGGGCTGCCAGCAGTGTGCTGGCAATGCTCAGCTGGGCACAGACCTTCTTGCCACGGCAGGCCCAGTCCCAGCTCTCTGGGGAAGGGCAGGGTGGCACTGGCTGTCATTGTCTTCCTGCTTGGGTTGCTCTCCTGCTCCACACTGTACAGAGAGGCACAAACAGTGCCTGTGCTTCTTCACCCACAGGGGTCTGACAAGGAAGAGGAGGGAGTGACAGACACATGCCATATGAAGAGTATGGACTCCAGCAACGTCCCTTCTCAGGTCTGAATTTTTCAGTGACTGGAACTAGGCCGAACTCCTCTTTGCCAGCGAATAATTAAAAAAGCATTGGTGGCTTCTCTGCCGAGTTAGCAAATAGTAAGTGCACATTTTACAAATGAGCTGAGCAAAGCCCAGAGAGGGAGTGAGGTGTCTGAGAACCCCCAGTGAGCTGGGAGGTGGGAATGGGAAATGCAGGTTTGTGGAGCTCTTGTCACCTGGGCTGCACCATGGGGGTACAAGCTTGTTTGTAGGAACATGTTTTTGGAGCATAACTGCAGGAGTGCATATGTATGGCAAGGAGGGAAATATTTGTGTGGGCTTGGTGAAGTCTGCTGTGGTGGCTTGCTGGATTAGTTCCTGTACTTGTCTTGGCAGGATTTGCAGGAGGAGGAGGTGCTCAGCCGCAGGAAGGGGCAGCAGGTCAGCAGCAGAGCTTTCCGCTGTGGGTACAAAGGCTGTGGCCGCCTCTACACCACCGCCCACCACCGCAAGGTAAAACAGGTGACATGGCAGTGTACAGGCCAGACCTGTCCCAGGTTACAGTGCCAGGGTTCTGCATTCTGTGCAGCTGTTTTCCTTCCTCCTTGCTTTGGTCCTCATTCTAATGACCTGTTCTTCCTTTTCCAGGTACATGAACGTGCTCACACAGGTGACCGGCCATATACGTGTGACTTCCCAAGTTGTGGGAAGGCATTTGCTACAGGTAACAGCTTCTCTTTTGATCAGATTTTGTTTTCTGTCCAACCCAAAACCCTGCTGAGCCTCAGCCCTGGTTCTGGTCCAGCAAAGCACAATGTCCAGAGCATCTAAAGCCTTCTGCAAGGGAACCTCAGCACGGGAGCCTGAGGACTTGATTGACTGTAGTCAGGTAATGGTGGAAGCAGGATAGGAAGTAGTGTTGGGGGCTGTTTGGATATTTCTTACCCCTGAGCTTTGTGGACACAAGAAAGACACTCAAGTACATGAAGTGGGGGGTGGTACACAGCTTGTCGTGGTGTCTCCTTTTCTTTATGAAATTAATTGTGGTTTCTGTCCTGGATAGGGTATGGGCTGAAGAGCCACATGAGAACACACACTGGTGAGAAACCATACAAGTGTCCAGAAGATATGTGCAGCAAAGCCTTCAAAACCTCTGGGGATCTACAGAAACACATTCGCACACACACCGGTGAGCAGCACAGTGGGAGAACTGCACTGCTAGTGAAAGGGTCTCCAGGGCATTCCAGGTAGCTGCATGGTAGCAGGGCTCATCCATGTCACTCTGTCATTGCAGGTGAGCGTCCCTTCAAGTGCCCCTTCGTGGGCTGTGGCCGCTCCTTTACCACCTCCAACATCCGCAAGGTTCACATCCGGACGCACACGGGCGAGCGGCCGTACATGTGTCCAGAGCCCGGCTGCGGGAGGGGCTTCACCAGTGCCACCAACTACAAGAACCACATGAGAATCCACACAGGTAGGAGGCAGCCAGCTCCTCCCAGCCAGCAGCAGGGAGGTCTGTGGGGCTGAAGTGGGCATTTCCAGGCCCAGCATTGTAGGAGTAGATCTAGGGGTGGCCAGGGAGTTAAAACAAATTGCTTTATTGGGTTGATTATGGTTCCATTGGTCCACCTCCAGCTGTTTGCTCTGGGGGGGAATCCCTCCCTGGAGCATGAGGAGGGTGAGTGGGTGAAGCTGTGCTCTATGGCCTCTGCCCTAGGAGAGAAGCCATACCTGTGCACTGTGCCAGGCTGTGGGAAGCGCTTCACGGAGTACTCCAGCCTCTACAAGCACCACGTGGTGCACACTCACTGCAAACCCTACACCTGCAGCAGCTGTGGGAAGACGTACCGCCAGACCTCCACGCTGGCCATGCACAAGCGCAGCAGCCACAGCGAGCTGGAGGCCACAGAGGAGAGTGAGCAGGCCCTCTATGAGCAGCAGCAGCTGGAGGGTGAGCCCCCAGTCCCCCATCACCTGCGGCAGGCTCAAATCAGATGTGGCAAAGGGGAGAGAGGTGACAGCAAGAGCCTGCAGCTGCTCCCCTCTCAGACCCAGATCTGTGCCATGGTCTCCTGCCTCCCTATCAAATCCAGACTCTGTTTGATGGTCCTTGCTGTAAGTCACAGGTTGGGAACAGGTTCCTGGCCATTCTGTAGTACAGGGAGAGGTAAAGGCCCTTCTTACCAGGCCATCAGTGGGCTGGTGTTATTGTGATCCTGTGCTCTTCTGTGCTGTCCCTTGAGGCCACAGGCAGGTCCTGGGGCCCAGCATGTGCTTTCATGTTCTGATAATGCTGCTTTTCCCCTTCCCTCACCCAGCTGCAGCTGCCGACAGAGCCTGCCCACTGAAGAGCCAGCATATTGCTTTCCTGTCGGAAATGGAGGAAGATGAAGAAGAAGATGTTGTGCCTACACAGGTCTCGTTTATCTCGCAGGATGGAACGGAGCAGGTACAGACACTGACAGCCTCCAGCACATCAGGGACAGCAGTTATTATCTGAAGTGAGATTCTGCCTCTACGCAGCTGCGGTGTTCTCTTCAGGGCCTTTTTTCAGCATAAAACAGACCCTGGGGCTCCATGTGCTCTGCCTGCTCTGAGGACTCCCTCCTACAGCCTCACCCACTGCTGCAGTCTTGGTTCGGGGGTGCCTCTGATCCAGCAGGAAGGGCGCCTCTCCCTGCTGATGGGGTCTCCAAGTGTTTGCCCAGGCTTGTGTGCAGTGCCTGTCAGTCCTCGGCTCCCAGCAGCTCCCAAGATCTGCTGACACAGGCTGGATTTGGAGATGTTTTGTCATCATTTGTATACAGTAGTGCTTTTCTTCTACTTCCCTCCACCAGCTGCCCATGTGCTGAGTGGAAAAAACTCCCTTTTGTGGTACAGGGCAAAGGAAGCAGCTGCCAAAAGTGACTTGTTTCCTCTTAGCCTGAGATGCTTCTGCTGCCACAATGCACAAGCTGTCCTGTACAGTCTGGAAAGAAGAGGCTGAATGGGGAGGAGAGCTGTGGGACAAGTGCGGAGGGCTGGAGACCCAAGCTGTGAGTTCTCTGTCATCAATTCTGTCCATGACCCTGGGCAAAGTCCTTGGAGTTCTCACTGCCCTGGGTCTTGCAGGGAGACTGTTTCATCCTTGCCCAGACCTTTGCATTGCTAAACTAGGGAGTTGCCTAAGACTCCCTGAACATCCGCTGTCATCTTCCAGGTCAGTCTGTCACAGGAAGAGCTGCAGTGCCATCGGTGTGGTGACACAGAGCAGGGCCCTTGCCGTACCCAAGGGGAGCTGGCGGGTGACAACACTCGCACCGTGACTGTGGCCAACACTGATCACACCGAGATGCAGGGGGTACAGACAAAACTGGGACCTTTCCCGTTCTCTGCTAGAAAGGAGCTGCATTTTCCTTTAAAACGTGATTGGTTTTAATCTGATTTTCCTAGGTGACCATAATTGCTTCTGGGGCAGTCGTGTCAGAGGAATCTGCCATTGCCCCACTCTGTCATCAGCAGGTGGCATTGCTGGCCACTGCCCATGGCACCCACATCACTCTGCAGGTACCACATGGCTCCTGCCACGCACCCCTTTGCTCCCCGGCCACCTACTGCCCACAGCACTTGCCCTCTTGCCCTGCTGCATTGCTGCTTGTCTAGAGGGCTTGCTCCTTAATTCCCAGATACCCTGCATACAGAGGACAGCACAGGGACATGCTTCTGGGGTTGCAGAATGCTCCTGTGTAAACAGCCTTTCTGCATCACAGCCATGTCTGCCCCTCTGCTTCACACCTGTGTCACCCACCCCCTTGCCCCTCTGTCCTGTGGGGGCTGCCCTGAGATGCCTTTTGGGGATTCAGCACTCACTCTCTCTCTCCCTTACCTCCCCCAGCTGGAAGAACAGCAGAGCCTGGAAGAAGGCATCAGCGTGGCTGCAGCAGTAATCCACTATGGACCGGTGACACCTGACACAGCCCTATCTGAGAAAGGGAGCTGAGGCCAATGGAGCTGCCAGGGCAGGGGGAGAGGCAGCCCCAGCCTGTCGTGGGCAGGGCCAGTGGGTGCTGCAGGCAGGACACGGGGCAGGGATGGTGTCTGAGCCAGCATGTGCCCCGTGCGGGCTGGGAGGGCTGACACGGGCAGTGCGGGGCTACTTGAAGCAACCCTGTGCAAAGGGCTCTTCAAGAAGGGAGGGCAAAGATACTGGACTGCTGCCTTCTCTTGGAGGCTCTGCTGGAGCCTCTTCTGGGCTCTGAGCAGCAGCCCTGTTTTCAGAAAGGCACTTTGTGCCCTCTACCTCTAGGAATAGTCCAACAGCTCCCCTTTCCTGTCCACCCCTCCAGCTCAGGGACAAGTGGACAGCAGGTGCACGGAAGCAATAAAGGCCCATCAAAGCAAGCCCAGGCTGTCCTGGGCTCTGTCAAGGGTGACCAGTTTCTGCCATTGGAGCCAGCACTCTGACAGCAGTTCTCCCATCTCTTTGTCACACTCTGCTCTCAAGCAAGCTTCCATGGCTGACTCCTTGGCTGCGGAGCAGAGCAGCCAACACTTGTCAAGGGCTGAGCTGGACCTGAATGTAAATGTTGAGTTGAAATATAAACAAGAATGTTGTTTTTAAAAGCAGCCCCCTTCTCTCTGGTGGAGGCTGGAAAGAGGTGATCAATGTTACTGTTTTGCAGCTGTAGGGATTAAATAAATTGAGGAGATTTGTGGAATTGATGGAATATGTCCTGCCAAACCAGCGACTGTCCCAGAGGAGGGCAGGGAGCAGGGTGAGCCCCCGGTGTGTGGCTTGGAGGGGGCCAAGAGGTGTCTCTAAAATCTGAGATCAGGTTTTGGCTCTTCCAGGAACTCCCTGCAAGCCCAGATTTACAGAATTGTGTCTGTGAACGCATCTTACAGGCCCCTGATTTGGGGAGAGGGACTTGGGCAGGTGCCCTCAGCCCTTCCACTGCCCTGGGCACTGGGCGGAGAGAGCCAGCACGGGAAGCACCACAGAACTATTTTGGCTGGAAAAGACCTTTGAGATCGTTGAGTCCAACTGTAAACCTGAGCCCAGTGCAGGCTCCCGGCAGTCAGGTGGATCATTCTCTGGACGTCCCCGAGGAGTTTGCAGAGGAAGAGGTTTCTGCGGGCACGGAACGGGCACAACCCGGGAGGGTGCAGCATGCTGGGTCTCCCCATACCTGCGATGATGAGACTGATCCCAAAACAAGGAAAGCTGGAGCCGTTGCAAAACGCAGCCCGTGCTCCCGCTGCGAGGGGAAGCTCTGATCTCAGTCCCGGGAGGGAAAGCTGCTGCTGGAGCCAGGGAGGAGATTTCTCTCCCCAGAGCACAAATGCCGACGAAGCGTTTGATGTCTGGGCCGAGCTCAGCGAAGGGCCGGTGAGCCCCGGCAGCGGGGCGGCAGCGATGCGGCCCGGGGGGTTCCCGCAGCGCCCCGGGCGGGCGGCGCTCCCGCCCCGCGTCCCGCCCGCCCGGGCGGCGTCCAGGAACCGGATCCGCGGGCTCGGCAGAGCCGCCGCCGCCGGCAGCCATGGACCTGCGAGCGGAGCTGCTCAAGTCCATCTGGTACGCCTTCACCGCCCTGGACGTGGAGAAGAGCGGCAAGGTCTCCAAATCCCAGCTCAAAGTGAGTTCCCGGGGGGCTCGGGCGGCCCCCGCGCGCGGCTGGAGGGGGGACGGCGAGGGCCAGAGCAGGTCCAGGGCTGCTTTGCATCCCCTCACCTTTCCACGGAGGAATTGTTAAATATTGAGATCAGTAAGACCTTGCTGTTGCCTCTGTACTGATTCTGGTGAAGTTCGCAAGCTCTGCATCATCTCCCTTAAAAAAAAAAAAAAAAAAAAAGAGGGAGGGGTGGGAGTTCATGCTCAAGTGTGTTTTCTAGGTGAAAATGAGGAGAAATCTAGTTTTTAGTTCTTTACAGTTTCTTATGGTTTTTATGGCTAACAGCCCAAACTCAGTTTATATTTTCTTGCTTGCCAGAGCACCTGCATTTCTGCTTCCTGCTGAGCCAGTGGGTCGGGAGGTAGGGGCAGCTTGTTTTTAAACTAAAACTCCACAGTCGTGTGGCCAGAAATAACAAGACGTTTTTAAAAACTCTCTGCTTTCCCCTCTCCCCCAGCTTAGCAGCTTTCAGAGGGCTCCTGCTCTTAGCCCTTCATCAAACCCATTACGGCTTTAAAAACCTTTTTGCCTGCCCCCAGGCTGTGGTTGGTCGAACCCGCCAGGGAGCCCTTGGCTTCGACAGTAATTATTGATTTTTTTTTTTCCTTTGCACATGGTGGGCCTCGTTTTTGTTGCCATGTGAACGTTCTCTTGGTTCTTAGGCTGGCACCAGGGTTGGAAATGCTGGTCAGCATCGGGGGCTGAGATGAGAGGAGAGACCTGAGCAGAAAAATGCTGGGCACAGGGAGATGTTGCATCAGGACTTGGCAGCTGCTGCCAGTCTGCAAGACCACTTGTGAAGTGCTGCAAAGAAAGCTCTTTTCCACTATTTCCTCTATTTTATAGGGTTTCCCTGGGACAGACTGCAGGGAAGGTGCTGTGCTTGGTGGGGAGGCGTGTTTTGCTCCAAAATTAAGAGTCTGTTTGCAGGAATCTGGAGGAAAAGTAGCAGGAGTCAGATGACTCCTGCTCAACCACTGCCTTTGCGGCAAAGTCTTCTGCTGCTCCCCAGAACTCATAGTGTGTGTCCTGCGAGCCACACTTGCCTGCTAAAACTGAAATAGAAGAAGGAAAATAGCTGAAGGAATTAAGGAAAATCCCAAAGTAGGCCAGAGCTTAATTCCCTCTGCTAATCCCTAAGAGGGGCTGCTGTGCCCCCCTCACAGCAGTCCCTGCACCCATGCTCTGGGTCCTGAGCCCAGCCCAGGCACGTGATGGACCCAAAAGCACCAGCATGAACACGTGCAGTGCTTGTCTTGAGAGATCTTTATCACCAGAGATGATGCTGAGGCCACAGAGACCCTCAATTTATGGCAATTTCCTAGAGAGTTTGTGCAAGGGGGGACAGGGGCTGCAAACCCTCGTGTAGGGGCTGTGGGGATACTGGAGATGGTGTGTCCACAGCAGCTTTACCCAGGGTGACATTCCAGAGGGGAAGGGAACTTCCCTCCTTGAGGTTCTCCCCCAGCCTTCAGTGACAGGATAGGTTGGTGGTGGGTTGAGCTGCACTGTTGAATGATGAAGCTCAACTCTGCATAACTTTCCACCTGCCTCGAGGCCTGGGAGAGATCATTTCCATCTCCCAATACACTCAGGTTTGTCCCAGCCTACACAGGCCAGCAGCAGCGTTTTTGTCTGTTCAGTGCAGAAGGAATCTGAGGTCTTGCAGGTCTGATTAATAATGTGTTGAAGCCACAGTGGCTGAGCCCTCTCCAAACCCCTCCTGAGCTGTGCTCTGCTCCCTCACCTGCGTGTGTAGCTGCATGAAGGGTCTTGAACAAGGGTGGGAGAAACAGCAGCGTTCCAAGGGTTTGCACCTACAGAAAGGAAGCAGTCCCAGAGGTGGGTGGGATTGTGCGGGCAGATGGGCAGTGTCCAAGTGGGAGCTGGGCCTGAATTCCAGCCTTGCTCCAGTCAGTTGCTGTAAACATACTGGGGTTCCCAGTGTGATGGTGCAGCTGTGGGAGCCGTTGGCTCCTTGCAGGGGCACTTCTCTGCAGGCGAGTGTGTGCAGACACTGTGAGTGTAGGTGTGCATGTGCACAGGAAGGAAGGGCAGCTTGCGGTAGAGTGCTACGCGCCGAGCGATGTCGGGTGGTTTTGTTCCTACCCAGGCACACACCAGCCCTGCTCTTGGAAAAGCACTTATCCTCTCAGAGCCATGGCATCCTCGCTGGCCGAGCAGAGGGAGCTGCTCCCTGTCTCTGCGGATGTGGGCTGGGATGTGGGATGTGTGCCTTCAGTGTGGCCATGCGTGGCTGGAGCAGGAGGTGGGAGCCACCAAGCACTGTCCTGGTGCTTTCTGGCACCTCTGTTCACAGGTGATGGGGGTCATGACAGTGGCTCCGCACTGTCATATTTTTCCCTTGCAGTCTCTGTTTCAGAGCCCAAGGGTGTTTCCCACCTCTCCTGTGTCCAGTCACCCCACCATCGGCCAGGCTGGGGCTTTCCTCCCAGTTTGTCCAGTGACAGCCTTGGAGTGGAGGAGCTGTGGGTCACGGTGTGCCAAGATGGACAGAGGAACTTGAGGTGCCCGTCATGGGCAGGGGCATGTGCGAAACCTCCCAGTGCTTTTTAGGGGTGCTGTGAGAGGTGTGAGGGATGGGGACGAGGGCCCACATTGGAAACAGGGAACAGGATGCGATTCCCAAAGTTTCGGTCCATCCTGACAGATTTGTTAGCCATCCTGGAGGATGTCCAGGGTGTTCCCAACCCTTTCCAACCCTGTGCAGATCCCAGGGCCACACCAACCCCGAAAGGTGCAGCTGTAGCAACAGTGCTCAGGGCTGCAGCCCTGGTGTGTGAGCACAGGGCGGAGTCCTGCTGATCCCATCAGTCTGGAGGGTGGAAAAGAGAAAGAAAATCTGGTTGAGCAAGAACCATCTCCAGCTGCAGCAGCCAGAGTGGCCTCCGGCTCCTCTCCTGCTGGGAGGAAATTTCCAGACCTGCACAGAGGAGTAGAGATGCTGTACCACCTCCTCCAGGCCCTTTCTTGAACCCTTGGCTAGCTGCATCCACAGATCCTGGTGCAATGGGGCGATCAGTCTGGGGTGCTCATTTAATTATCTGCTTTTGGGAGGTAAAGGCAAGGAGAGCACTGCCTGTCTGGCATCACAAGCTAGAGATGCTGGTGATGCTCATGGACAGCCTTGCTCTGAGCTTTCCAGCATGTGGGAAATTTGGGAGCTTCCAAACACCCTTTGTTTTGTGGAATTTGAACAAAAGTGGGCTGTTGGTGAGACTTATGGAGTGTTTCTGCAGATGGTGCATCTCTAGATCTCCACTGTCTGCTTCCATTCCAGACAAAACTTTTTCTTAGTTTCTTATAAATCTTTTCTTTTTTCATGTTTCATTTTTCTGTGCCCCCTGACAGACAGACACCGCTGCCAGGCTGGGCCATGGTTGTACCAAACACATGGCTCAGGGTAGCTTATCAGCTTTTCTAGATCAGAGCAAGTCCTGTTTTCTCTGAGAGGTTTGAAACAGCTCTTTTAAAAAAAAAAAGTTCCTCGTGTGCTAAGAAAAGTAACTAATGTGGAAAAATCCTTTATTTTTGCCTGTTTCTAAATGATTCTCTAAGGTTTTCATTTGGGAATGATGCCCCGTCCTCTGCCAAACCCAAACTCTGCCTCAATGCTGTGGCTGCAGGGAGGTCACAGGGCACAGCGGGTGTGGGGGTGGCACTACAGAGATGTGCTGGGGCAGGGCTGGAGGTTGTTCACCTTCTCACCATCCCTCATGCTTGGCCAGGTGCTGTCTCACAACCTGTACACAGTGCTGTGCATCCCCCACGATCCCGTGGCACTGGAAGAGCATTTCCGCGATGACGATGATGGGCCAGTGTCCAGCCAGGGCTACATGCCATACCTGAACAAGTACATCCTGGATAAGGTGAGCCCCTTGGCCTCGGAGCGGGGGGACACGGTGGTGCCTCAGCTGCTCCTGCATCACATGGGAGCCCAATGGCTCCACTCCCTGCAGCTCTTGAAGGTCACATGCTTTGACGGGTGGAAAAAGGGTGCAGAGAGATGGGGAGCGCTCAGGTGAATACCAAAACAAGTGAGAAACGTTTAATTCTCAATGTCTCCTCGGCAAAGATGAAGTCAGCCCTTTCCATCAAGGCTCTGGATGGAGCAGCATCTCTGCCCATGTTTCCTGCAGGGCTCAGAGAGAGAAATTGGCCCCTTTTTCCTCTCTAACCCTGTTCAAATTTGGGGTGTGACGTCATTTGGTGAAGAGGAGAGGGAGGAGGATGAGGTGCCAGGACAGGAGCAGAGTTGGGGTGGGCAGGGGCTTTCTCCCTTTTTTCCATAATTCAAAGGCTTTGTCTTGTACAGCCACAAGTTTGTCCATGGGTGCTGTTCCCTCCAGGCATGCAAGAAGAGGAAGAATGACTGACAGCTTTCTTCCACTTCGTGCTCACAGAAGGGGGCCAGTGCTGGGTGCTGTAACCCTTCGTTCCCCCGGCTCTCCTGGCATACTGATCTCTGTGGGTCTCCGTGCCCATCTTTGCCTTGCCTGGAGCTGGTCAGGAGCTGCCCAGTCTGGTGCTGATCTCGGCTGCGGGGGATCTGGTCTGCAGTGAGTGAGGGCAGAGCCTTCCCCAGCTCCCTCTGCCCAGGGCAAGAGCTGCCCAAGGTCAGCCCAGCCCAATCTCCCCATCACAAAGTGGCCAAAATCCTTCTGGTTTCCCATG